TAGACGTTGAAATTTGACCTTCATATAGTTTTCACTTTGTTAAACATTATTCTTCTTTTGACTTTTTTCAATCATTTAAAAACGTGAAAGCCATTCTTATTTCACAGACTATATAAAAAAAAGGCAGCAGGCTGGATTTGGCCCATGGGCTGTAGTTTGTCGACCCCTGATCTACTAGTCATTATTTTTCTTCTGCATATCACTCTCTGACTGCACCGTTTCCCTCTTTGTTGTGTCATTTTTTGAAGTCTTTCTGCCCTTCCTCTCAGCAAGCTGAGGCTCCAGTATCCTTTTGAGAATCTGTGTTTCTGACATTCATGTAGCTCATTAAGGAGAGTCAGAACACCCACCTAAAAGAACCGTTAGGGCAAAATCAGATAGCGTCCCTCTTCTCTTTTTTGTGTCCTGGCTAGTTTGACAGATAAGTTGGGTATATGGAGGTTGCAGACTTTGTAACCCTGGCAAATGGCTCTGGTTTCTGCAGGGTTCTAAGGCTCTAATGAATAGAGCATGCAGCCTGAGTGATGGTGAGAGTCTGATTTTTAGATAATCAAGGATATTTATATCTTTAAATAGGTTGGTGCCTTGGAGTGCTGTTCCAGCATGAAATGGAGAGTCAGAGAGAGGTCTGCATAATCAGTTTGGGGTCATCTCTTAGAACAGTAATGTATCAGAAGGGCGTTCAGGCTCGGGATGGAAATGAGGAGTTATAAGCATATGTTGCTCTATCCTTGCTGTATTTAAAATGAAAACACGATACAGATTTTTATATGTGGATATGTTTAAAGGGAAATCATATGCCCTATGTCATAGGGAAACAGAACACAAGAGAACCTTCTCAAATCTGTGGCTGTAGCCCTGGTCTGTGGAGCTGCTCTTCAGACGAGCTCCTGGCAATTATTTGGGGCTGCGAAGCAGTGTGGGCGACAGAGGCTTGGCTGCCTGCGTAATGAGATTGGTTTGGTTGGTCTGACAGATGCAGTGATTTATGGGAGTGCTTGTTGGGAGGACACCTGCTGCTGAGAGCAGCCAGATGAATGGCATACATGTGGGAGGTGGAGGAGAGCAAGGGATAGGAGAGGGGTGGTTGTGTGTAAGGCAGGCAAGGATTGTCCTGATTACAGCTGTGAGAATTGTGGGCTAATATGGGGCCGTGGAATAGCGTGACATGGAGACACAGTGTAGGCTTGGGAATTGTACAGACCTGAGTTTGAATCCCTGGCTCTACCGCTTGTTAGCTGAGATCTTAGGTGAGTTGCTTCCCTTCTTTGAGCCTCCATTTCTTCACCTATAAAATGGGGATAATAAACACCCTCCTTATTTCCCAGAACGTGAAATTGTACTAACATAGAAGTCCAAGTGGGGTCCTGGTGCGTGGGAAAGCTCAGTAAGTGGTAGACATTATCAGTGTTTGTCCGTGTGTCTATTCATTTGTTTATTCACCTGCATTGATTGTTCTTTGTAATTTCTAATAGAGCCTTGTTTTCAAATAGATGCCTAATGGTGACTTAGGCATCAAAACCTCTTGTGATCAGGGTGTAAGTACATAACAGTTAACATGTATTTATAGGTATATGTATGAACATCTAAACGGCTCATAGAAGTTTAGTAGATACGTGAAGTATGATTTAAAGAACAGCTTGCCTGGCCAGTAAGCACAATAAAAAATACTTCACCTTACTAATAATTGGGGGAAACCACAAATAAGACCAAGAGGAGATATTGTCTCATTCACCAGATTGGTAAAAATGTTAAAGTCTGACAATACCAAGTGTTAAGGAGAATGTAGAGTGACGGAGCTCGTATGTACTACTAGTGGGAGTTTAAGCTGATACAGCTACTTTGGAAAATGATGTGTTAATATCTAGAAATTTGAAGATGTGTGTATCCCATCTCCAAGCAGATTTCCACTCCTAGGCGTAACCTAGAGAGATCTCTCACATGTAATCAAGCCAATGTGTTCATCACCACATTGTTTGTTATAGAAAATAATCTTAGTATCCATCTATGGGCTAATGGATGCATACTTTAAGTGAGCTAAAGGTATATGTGGTATCAGCATAGAAGAATTTTAAATAATGATGCGTGAAAAAAATAAAGTTGCAAACAGAAAGCCAGTTATATATAGTTTGAAAGTGTGAAAAACAATATTAATGTATTGCCTATGGATACCTACATATGAAATAAAAGTTTAAAGAAATTATTTGGAATGATAACTATTAAATTCAAGATACGAGAAGAAAGATATGGTTGTAAAGTTTGCGTAGGGCCCAGATCCCAACTCTGCCCTTGACTTACCAGCTGTATACCCTTAGACAAGTTGCTTAACCTCTGTGCCTCAGTTTTTTGATGTATAAAATGGGAAAATAATATTATCTACCTCATAGGTATGCTGTGAGGGTGAAATGAATGAGCGTAGGTAAAATGTTTAGAATAATACCTAGCAAATAGTAAGTGCTATATAAGCGTTAGCAATTCAGGTTCTAATTACATGAGTATTTTTTATTATTCTCCGTTTATTTTTTTAAATGTTAAACATTGCAGTTTTTAAAAATGTATAATAAATGTTTCAGTATTCTAAAAGATAAAGACTATATGTAACATAACTACAGTATAATTAGTACACCTAAAATTAACAATAAATCCTTAACATCAAATACTCAGTTAATTGTTCCAATTCCAATTGCCCATAAATGTCATTAACTTTTTATAATTTCTTTGGATTAAGTTCCATGCATTATACTTTATTGATTTATCTTTTAAGACATTTTAATCTACAAATTCCTCCTCCAACTTTCCTTTTTCTGCAATTAATTTTTTAGCTTTATTGAGGTATAACTGGTATACAAAAATCACACACATTTAATGTATACATCTTGATGCATTTAGACATATGCATATACTCATCATACTATCACCACAACGTCCAAAAAGTTTCTTGTGTTCCTTTGTGTGGCTTGTTTTTTCGTTTTTTTTTTTTTTCTGGTTTTGTTTTGTAAGAACACTTAATGTGAGATCCATCTTCATTAGTTTGTTTGTTTTAAAATTTTCTCTCCAGACTTTCAACAAGCACATTTAACCATTGTCCACATGCATGCATCTACCTGTCACTTAAAATAACTGATCTGGTTGGAACATAGATATGCACCCCCCTTGTCCTGAGGAAAGCACGGAAGGAAGCTTATTCAGCAACAGAGTCAAAGTTACAGAGGTTTGCTCTTGTAAGCTAAATAAGTTCCTGTGTTCTGCTGTACCTGAGATCCAGGGATCTATCCTCCTAACATATTTTGAAGTATAGAACAAATACTGCAATTTTCTAAAAAGAAGAGATGTCATTCTTGCCCTTTGTCATCAAAGAGTTGGTAAGTGAACAAAGATTAAAAAATATCATCAACATAGGAATTTCAGGGTGTGGCATAATAATAGTATAGCTGCAATCTGTTAACCCCTAAATGTGGTAGGTACTATGCTTAAGGTACACTCATTTTATGTTTCCCTATGAAGTAGGCACTATTTTTAATCCCTGTTTTACAGTCAGGAATCTTTCTTCCTGCCAGAACCCAGGTAAGAGTGACTCACGCTCTTGACTGCTGGTCTGTACAGCCTACCTGCCTGTTGTTTCCATTAGCTTCCTCTACACAGATTCCTACTTCCTTCCTGTATCAATCTTTGTAAGCTAAGTTATGTTAATGAACAGTCCTAAAATGGGAATGGGGTAGCTTCTAATAATAAAGGGTTATTCCTCATTCATGGTACATATGCATCAAGGGTCAGCTGAGAGCTCTGCCACAAGCTCGTTACTCTGGGAGCCAGGAGTCCTGGACAGAGTAGCCACAATCTCAGACTTTGTGGGTTGCTATGGAGAGAGAGAGAGAGAGAGAGAGAGAGAGAATATATGGGAATGAGAACTATGGATAATAGTTCTCATGGATAATCTCACCCTAACAGTTAAATGCTCCAGACTGAGAGAGACACACAACATTTCCACTCACATTATAAACGAGAGTGCTGGTTTTCAAACAGGACTAATTTTGCCAACGTCTAGGGACATTTTGGCTGTCATAGCTGGAGAAGGGGGGTCACCAGAGGTCAGAGATGCTGCTAAACGCCCTACAATGCACAGGACAATCCACCCCTCCCCCTGCCAGCCACCACAACACACATATAGCAAAGAAGTATTCGGCCCCAAGGTCAATAGTGCCAAGGTTGAGAGGCTCTGGACTAGAGCCAGTCACAAAGAGCCAGAAAGTACAATTTTATGAAACTGTCAGGGAGGAGAACCTGACATACTTGACAGATAACACCAGTGACCACTATGCGTACTCAAGCTTAAAAGCTGTTATAAGGGCCCTTCAGAAAATACTTTCCCAGGATGGAAGTGAACTATTACTTTGCGAGATAGCCATAGAAGGAGTCTTCTAACACAGTTAACTCCATCGAAGGCCAGAGGAGGCCCCTGGACTCACTTCTCAGCTGACTGCTGCTCTTCCTCAGCACTGCCTGAAAGGAGTATAATGCAGGCCACATATATAATTTAAAATTTTCTAGTCTCCATGTTAAAAAAGAACAGGTGAAATTAATTTAATAGTATATTTAATTCCATATATCCAAAATATTATCATTTTAAATGTAATCATTATAAAAATGTATGAGATATTTTACATCTTTTGCACTTTGACACTTCGATACTCACAGCACCGTCTCAATTCAGACTAACCACATTTCCAGCGCTCAGTTGGCACATGTGGTTACAGTATTGGATATGCAGCTCTGGAGGTTTCTGTTCTAGAACTTGGTGAGGGGCTTTCCTTGGTCTCGTCTGAGGTCCAGCAGACTGCTGTCTGTAACCCAGAGTCAGTAAGTTCTGGAAGCATGACATAACTTGCAGGAATATCTGTCCCAGACTCCCGAAGACGGTCTGCGTATGTTTCAGGAACAAAGAGGGATTGGTTTCCTGTGTCGTCTGTGCTATTACCTCTTTTTCTGATTTTCACTGGCAGGTGCCTCGTCTCCAGACATGGAGCCCAGCTATGGGGGAGGTCTCTTTGACATGGTGAAAGGAGGTGCAGGGAGACTCTTCAGTAACCTAAAGGACAACTTGAAAGACACCCTCAAAGACACGTCTTCCAGAGTTATACAATCTGTTACCAGGTATGTGTGTCCTTCCCCATTAAGTTAATGGACTCTGTGCCCCCCAAGGATCTGATTACCTGCCAACTGCTTGTCTGGCTCAAAGACTATCAATTTTGTGATGCAACTGCATGGGATCTGATTGACTAGGAATGCCATTGAAGCCGCAAAGTTGAGTCCTTCAGAAGCTACAGGCATAGGCTGGGAGGACTCGGCCCCTTGGTACGTTAGAGGATAGTGGTTGCCATCCCTGGCTTTCGAATCCAGCATCCTGAATTCTAATGCAGTATCTCCCCTTGTTAACCTAAGGCAAATTAATTAACCTCTGTGAGCTTTGCTTTGATACCCTGGTAAAATTTATGTCTTTAGGTGGTTTGAGAATTAAATGAGACAGTAATGCACATGCAATCCAAATAAGCAATACTTATGGATTGTAATCAAAACAGAATTTTGTTTTCGTATCTTAATAGCCCTTTAAAACTTATTTACTGGGAGAAGTTTCTACCCTTCTACTGTGTGAAACTTTTACAAGCAGGCCATATGAATTCTTCTTTTATTCTTAGGAATTAGAAAGTTCTAGGGAGGCTTTAAGTTAAAATATGTGGTTTTAAATCAGAAATTCAAATGTGAAGTCCAACATATTAATCAACATTTTAATTTTTTTCAACAGTAATTGTATCCTTTACTTTCAATCCCCAACTAGCGCCTGGTAGGCAAAAAAAAAAGGGTCCTTTGTTCTTTCTCCATCACTTCCTCCCCTACCCCCTAGCTGCATGCCCTGTTTGGAGTGCTAGGTGTGTGCTCCTGAGGGTGTGGGCTGTCTTCTGTCAACAGTGCTTACTTGTTAGGGGGAAGGCCTGAAGGGAAGTCAGAATATAGCTACTGGATGGAAGTGTCCCAGGTCATGATGTGCAAGTGATTGAGAGAGAGAAATCGTGGGACATTTGGATCATTTTAATGAGTGCCCTTTCCTGTCTTGCTTTTAGCTACTCGAAGGGAGATTTAGACTTCACTTATGTTACCTCCAGAATTATTGGTAAGTTTCTCATGTTTATTAACTGCCCAATAGCTCAGCTTTCAATGGCTGCCCATCGCGACAGCGGACCTGTTTAACCAATTTTTTTTCTGTGTGACCCTTCCTCCAGTGATGTCCTTTCCTCTGGACAGTGTTGACATAGGATTCAGAAATCAGGTTGATGACATTCGAAGCTTTTTGGATTCCAGACATCTTGACCACTACACGGTGTACAATCTGTCGCCCAAGTCTTATCGAACTGCCAAGTTTCATAGCAGGGTAAGGAATTTTAGCTCTGATCACAAGGTTGAAGATATAAGAGGGTATTTTCCCCCTTAAGAGCTATCCTCAAAGCCTTTGCCTTTCGGCACATGGAGCTGAAAAACTATGTACTCTGGACACTTCTCTATCCACAAAATTTTTATTAGGCTGTTACGAGATATTCTGAGGCTTTTCCTCGGGTGAGGATATTTGTAGGAAAGTTTCTCTGTCAATAAGATACCATCTAATTGAGGGCCTCAAATCAGCTGTGGCTGGTTGCTCAGTTGTTAGGGCACATTGCTGTGCGGCTCAGTGGAGACTGACTGCTACGTAGGGCAGTTGGAGACCCTTATGCTGGAGCACTAATGATGCCTTTCACCCTTCCTTATTGCTGCTTTGGCATCACGATGAGGCAGTGTGGCTAAACCAGTAGAGACACACCAGTATTAATGGAAATAGCTTTCTGACATTTGGTAAAGGTATGTGTTTCATAAGTGAGGTGTAGCACATAAACAGTCCACACTGTAGGTTTGGTGATACTATTGCTAATATTTAGAGCAGTGAGAGCAGCAGCAACATTTTTAGAGCATTTACAGTGTTCCAGGAACTTTACATGCAATATCTCATTAATTCTCTCAACGGTCCTCTGAAGTAGATGGAGAAACTGAGGCACAGAGAGGTAAGGTAACTTGCCCAAGACTACAGGCGTGTGTCTTAGCCATTACTCAGGGCTGACAGTATTACCTGGAAACCTGGATTATCCTCTCAAGGAGCTTTTAGAACTAGGCAGAGAAATAGTTCTAGTTTCAGTCTAGGTAAGGAGCTGTGAGAGCTGGCTTTGGTTTGAACCTGATGTTAAGCCTGATATTTCTGGCCACTGAATTCTTGATTTACTCATTCAAATCAGGCTTTTTCTCTCTCAGGAACGTTTTCAAAAATCTTGCCTTAGCCTTTAGATACGATTGGTTCTTCAGCTACATCTGGATTTATTAATAAATAGAAAGGGGTTTTACACATTGGACCCTTTAAAGTGAAACTTGATTTCAACGATGCAAAATGATAGCTGGTTGTGTGTACTGTGTATTGAGGATCTCAGCTTTGATGCCAGAACACATTTTGCTCCAAATTTTAGTTGCCATTAATAATCTCTGGACGTCAGTTTCCTGATCAGTAAAAACTAGAAGAGAGTCTGTATGCTGTCTTAGACCACTTTCTGCCCTAATGTTCAGTAAGATAAGGGAGAATTTTGTGAAGGATTCTCTTTTCCCAGAGTGTTTTCAAAATAGGCAAGAGGTAACCCAGTGGTTCTCAAGCTTTAGTGTACATCAGAATGTCCTGGAGGGCTTGTTGAACACCTGGGCCTGGCACTTCTGGTTCAGCAGAGGGGTGTGGTGAGAATCTGCATTGCTAACAACTTCCTGGGTGTTACTTCTACTGTTGCCCTGTGAGCCACTCTCTGAGAAGCACTGATAAAACCATTCTAAAGTGGTTTCGTCCCAATTCCCATTCTATAACGGAGATTTCAAATGCAGCTCTTTAATATTCCCTGTAGTTAACTGCCCTTCCACCTCTTATTCCATCTATTATCTAATTCAGAGCAAGGGAATTAGCATCCAATAAAAATGTGGGTAGCTATTTTATTTCTAATTCAGATGCAAATATTTTGAATTGATTTTTCTTGTTTGGAGACTCAGTGCCATCATTTTCTTTCTTTCTTTCTTTCTTCTGATTTGTTTTTTATTGAAGCATAGTTGATCTGCAGTGCTGTGCCAATCTCTGCTCTGCAGCAAAGTGACTCAGTGATACACATAGAGACATCATTTTTATAACTGGAGGACCATGGAACATCCTGTATAATATTTCATAGAAATTTTATTTAATCTTGAAATAGTTGTGATAATCTGAAAAATTTTCCCTCTGGAAGTAAATAAAGATGTAATATCATTATAGAAGCATTCATGCATATAAAGGTATCTCTTATATGTATATATGATTTATAAAAGCAAGCTCTTTTATAAAGATATTTAAAGAAAGGCATCAATTAGTGTAACTATGTATTTTGTGACCAGACTTAACAGTCTTACCAAAGAAACCAGGAATTGCATATGGAATATCTGCCCCAGACTGCTCTCACTTGCCCTAGAAGAGCAGGGAACACGTTAATTTTATTTGCTACCTGGAACGGTGCCTGGCATGGCTAAGAAATGTCTCTCAGAAGATTGAATGTACCTGCCAAGAATTGTTGAACACATAGATATCAAATAAAAATTTGATTCTTGGGACTTCCTTGGTGGCGCAGTGGTTAAGAATCCACCTGCCAGTGCAGGGGACACGGGTTCGATCCCTGGTGTGGGAAGATCCCACATGCCCTGGAACAACTAAGCCCGTGCATCGCAACTACTGAGGCTGCACTCTATAGCCCGCAAGCCACAACTACTGAGCCCATGAGCCACAGCTACTGAAGCCCGTGCTCCCTAGAGCCCACGTGCCGCAACTGCTGAGCCCACACGCCACAACTGCTGAAGCCCGTGTGCTGCATCTACTGAAGCCCACATGCCTAGAGCCTATGCTCCGCAACAAGAGAAGCCACCGCAATGAGAAACCTGCGCACCGCAACAAAGAGTAGCCTCTGCTCGCCACAACTAGAGAAAGCCCGTGCACAGCAACAAAGACCCAACGCAGCCAAAAATAAAATTAATTAATTAATTAACTAAAAAAAGTTTGATTCTTATTCTCAAGGCACTTAAGCCTAGTTGGAGAGAGAAGTCAGGACGTTCTAAAGACAATAATATTTACAGTACCTACTGAGGGAGTTTAGTAAAGGGAGACAGCAGTGAGAGCTGGACGTTGACGCATGAGTCTTGTCTAGGTGAAAGCAGTGGGGTTATTTCTTCTCCATGCAAACTGTAGTCTGTGTCTTACCAGGCTCCGCAAGATCTGGCTTCTGTGCCTCTCTAGCTCATCTTTCACTGTTCTCCGCTGTATGAGAACCATGCTCCCACCAGGGGAGACGCACAGTCTCTTTGCATGAGCTGCTCCCACTCCCTGAAAGGCCACGCATGCCACACCCCCACCCCTTCTTTGTTCGCCACATTTCGCTAAGGGGAGGATTTCCACATCCCACAAGTCTTTTCCAATTCTTTCCCCTAAAATGCAGGATTGCACTGCACCTTTAGCCCTTTATAGATAGTCCCAGAACTCTGGGGACTGGAAGAGGACCCTCTGACCTAGCTCCCTCAACCCTCAGTTGCATCTTAGGACAGTCCCACAGCCTTAGTATTTTCATCTTAGCTCTGTTTTTTTGTGTGTGTGTGTGTGTGTGTGTGTGTGTGTGTGCGGTACACGGGCCTCTCACTGTTGTGGCCTCTCCCGTTGCGGAGCACAGGCTCCGGACGCGCAGGCTCAGCGGCCATGGCTCACGGGCGCAGCCGCTCCGCGGCATGTGGGATCTTCCCGGACCGGGGCAGGAACCCGTGTCCCCTGCATCGGCAGGCGGACTCTCAACCACTGTGCCACCAGGGAAGCCCCTTAGCTCTGTTTTTGATGTGGCTACATCTCTTTTCAAGTTCCTAGTCCTTTCTCTTCCCAGTACTAACACCGCAAATTGATTTGCATCCCACTGTTGCATGACTTAGAAAAGTGTTCTTGGTTCTCATCTTCCAGTCCTTGAGGCCTGAAATCATTTTCTCCTCCTTCCAGACCAGTGGAGTGCTAGGTCTGCAGCTAATTCTTATTTTAATAAATGTAGATGGCCAAGGCTTCTATAAATACCACTGTTGGAAAAGACCAAACACAAGACTGGTTTTATTTATAGACTCACAGGAGTCCAGCTGTGTCTATATCTCTATGCCTTGAACCCTGAACTCAGTCATTTTACCTTTTTATTATGTGACGTGTGTTTGGAGATAAAGACGGTGGTGACAGAGACAGGCTGTTTCTAGGAAGATTTTACTTTTTTGAGGGGCATCACTCTGTATTTTGATTCACTTTTAGGCTTAGAAACCACATGGGTTGACAGGAATCATATGAAATAATTAAATAGCAATTCCTTAGTATTTGCATATGTAACAGAATGTTAAAATAGGACTCTGTGTTTAGTTTCAATTTTAGCAGAGGATTTGACTCAAAACAAAACGTGGCAGATAGCCCTTCATTCAGAGTGCTAGAATACCTATTCAGGACTGCAGAGGAGATATTGAATGTCAGTGTTTTGACTCTTCTTAGCCAGTATCTACCTTGAGGAAATAAACATCCTGATGTTGACAGTGAAGTCCTGTAGACCAATGAGATGCATCATCTAAGCCAGATGTTCTGAATCTGAGTTTAAAAGACACGGTTCCACTGTATATTTCGATCCATGCATGGGCTTCAGAGAGTTTAACCATCTGTTTTCACTCCTGTTTTTTCTTTATTGTGGTAAAATACACATAACATAAACCTACCATTTTAAGCATTTGTAAGCGTACAATTCAGCAGCATTAAATTCACTCACAATATTCTGTAACCATCACTAGTATCTATACCCAAACCTTGTTCATCATCCCCCAAGTAAACACTATAGCCATTTACTCTGTGTGTACGTGTGTGTGCACTGGTTCCATTTCTGCACAGAAGGTTTTATAGCTCTGCCCTAGAATGTCAGGAACTACTGCTTTACACATTTCTTGGTGTTGCTGTTGGCAATAAATGGAAAAGCAGATGAATGGCCACCAAGTCTAGCCTGCCCTAAAGTTCTTACATTCTGATAATGCTATTCCAGTGCCACTTTGAGCCTCCTTCCTCTGTCTCACCAGGAAGGGGTATGCTGAAGGAGCCCAGTTAGTAGCACTGAAAAGATAAACCCAGCTGGTTCTTTTAGAATCTTCTTTTATTTCGACTATTTCTAAACTGCATAATCTTGTAGAATTTCTTCCTCTTTGCAAAGAACTTAATTTTAGGAAAATATATGATCAACTTGGGTTTCTTAAAGGATTGTTTGAAGGTCACATTTTTTTTTTTTCCTTTTTCCTTCCAGAATTCATCAAAGAGGTCACCATAGCTCCCAGTTGTTTCTGCTCTGGTTTGCTGGTTGGTGAAGGGAGTTGGCCATAGCGGAGAGACTTTATAGATTATATTCATCTGTCCTCTGCCACTGTGCATCAGTGTAAGGACAGGAAATAATGGGGCAGAAAAATATCCCTGGCCTGGGAGCCAGAGGACCAGGAAGCCCCACATTCTAGTTCTGCAGCCTTCAGTGAATTGAATGTCTTAGTAACTTTGGTAAAAAAATAGCCATCACTTGATCCCATAACTATCTCACAAATGTAAGATGGAATTCTAGTTAATAATCATCAGACAGTATACAAACTTTTATTATTTTTTTTATTGAGGTGAAATTCATATAATATGCACAAATTTTGAATTTTATGAATTATCCTAGATTCGCATCTCAGCTGTTCCTCTTCCTGGGTAAGTTACTTCACCTCATCTAAAGCTCGGTTTTCTCCCGTATAAAATGGAGTTAACAAGGATTCCTATCTCACACATAGAAAATTTTTCTTTAGGTTTGCTGTAAGGAAGACATTTGATAGCAATGTCTGGCTTAGAGTAAACATTCAGTAAATGGAAGCTATAATTACCATTAATAATAATAAAATGCCAAATAAATTATTGCCTGAAGTACTCCTGTCCTCCCAAAATGGTGTCAGGTTCTTAAGACACTGGATATGGCTCTTCAGTCTGATTCTCCATAGCCCCTTTTGCTCTTAGGCTCAGCAAATGGGATGCTTCTGTCTTCTTATCTCGTGCTTGGGGAGACAGAAAGATGAAAACCAAATGGCATCCAGCCCTGGTGCTGTTCTGGCCTCCTTTCCCACTGGGTGGTGTCATGGCAGCCTGTAATCCATATGGCGTTTTCTGATGCTCTACAGCTCCAGGAGGGGTTCAGAGAGACTGGAGGCAGCATTGTGAAGTGTCACCTGCCCAAGGATTGTGCTTATTGCATGAAGCTGTGAACCTCACAGAGCTACAGAAATCACTTGCAGGGATTGAATTCGTTTAAAAAATTTTTTTGATTTTGTTGATGCCTTAAATGTTTTTCCCCTTTAGACAGAGCACATGCTTTTAAAAAATTCTAATTGTATGTTTGCTTAATGGAGTATAATTATATATCAAGTAAATATGTAATTATGCAGTACTTTAAATTAATATTATTTACTTGATTGGTTTAATGATTCTGAACAATTAGCCTATTGTGCTAAGAACAATTTAGCCAGCTTTTAGCTGAGACTCAGATATTGACATTTAGTGTTTGTAGGAGTGACATACAGTTTCTAAAAGGTTTAAAGATACTGCCTGAGAAAACAAATTTCCTACACTTTTACATGGTCGCAACCTAAAAAAACAACAAAATCGGTTCCTTCCTCAAGGTACTTTACATGTAGACAAAGACAAATCTTATTATAAGAAGAGATTGCCGGGCTTGCCGGGCTTCCCTGGTGGCACAGTGGTTGGGGATCTGCCTGTGGATGCCGGGGACGTGGGTTCGTGCCCCGGTCCGGGAGGATCCCACGTGCCCCGGAGCGCCTGGGCCCGTGAGCCATGGCCTCTGAGTTTGCGCGTCCGGAGCCTGTGCTCTGCAACGGGAGAGGCCACAACAGTGAGAGGCCCGCGTACCACAAAAAAAAAAAAAAAAAAAAGGGATTGCCAAATAGGGTTCATTCTTCGTTCTTTCACTCATTGATTCACTCAGCAAATACCTACTGAGTGCCTGCCATTGGACTAGCACGTGGACTCTGGACTTGGGTTACAAAAATGAAAAATGGTCTCTCTTCTCATGGAGCTTAGTGTCTAGAGGGGGAGACAGACATAAACAGTTAATTTGAATACAATAAGCTGGCACTTACTGTGTTTACATTGTGCTCCTTAATTCTTACCACCATTTTTATTTTACACACAAGAGAACTGAGGCTTGGAGAGGTTAGCAACTTGTCTAAGGTGAATCAGGTAGTAAGTGGTAAAGCTAAGGTGAAAACCCAACTGTGGCTTCACCATTTTGCTCTACTGGTGAAAGCTATAACAGGTGAAAATGGACAAAGATGACTGAGATGACTAAGCACTTCTGCCTGTGGATGTTAGAGAAACTGTGGGAGACAAGAGAACACTTGAACTTCGGCTTTGGAGTATGAATAGAAATTTACCAAGGGAAAGAAAAACATCACAGGCAGGAAGCAGCTTGTATAAAAGTATATTTTGCAATTCCTCTGATGGCAAAATTTTTCTTCCCAATTATTCTGGTTTTAATCAATACATTATTTCCATTCCTTGAGAACTTGTCAATGGGGAATCTATCTGAGGATAAAGAATCGGCCAGAAATAGACCCAAATCATGTTGGGTGAAAGGGGCAAGCTGTTATGGAGTTTAAATCGACAGAGGCCCAATACTGGGTCACCCTGGATTGTTTGGTAGCTTTGTTAGGCATTTCCTCTACTTTGTTTAATAAACTATACCTGTCATTCTCAAAGGTCTAGGAAAATTAATAACCTGGAAGGTCCCCTGACGCTACCCACAATCATTTTGTAGGAAAAAAGTTACAAATTAACCAAAAAGAATGGGTTTTTTGGCAGCCACAGAGAGAGAGAGAAACTCCGTGTGTTTGCTTTCAGGTGTCAGCTCTAGAGACCACAGATAATTTCCCACTTATATTTTGACTAGTTATTATCTAGTTACTAGAAAAGCATGAACCAAACAGATTATTCCTGCCTCTCTCTCCCCACTCTTAAATGTAAAGAATTTGGGACGTTTGGGTTTTCTGAGACCAGTGGTGTTAGTGTTGCAGACACTTTCTGATGACACCATCTGTATAAAACCTGTTGTTTTCTCCAGAATTCCCTGTATCAGCCAGTGGCACCTGCCATCCTTTTATCCTTTTATCCAGCCATTCAGGCTGGAAACCTAGCAGTCATCCTCGATTGCTCCCCCTCCACATACCCCTCCATACTCATGCACTGCCACCCTGTGATCAGTCCCTGAGTCTTGTACAGGCATTCCACTTCCTCTCTATTTTTTGAATCCCTCAAGTCTTTGTGTGTCCCACTGCCACTCATCCAGCCTAAGCCACCATCATTTCTTACTTAAATTCCTAATATAGCCACCTGACTGTACTCTCTGACTTTTGTCTTGTGTCATCTATATCTGTTCTCCATACTGGACCTTGAGAGGTCTTTGGAAAATGTGAGAGTCACTCTCCTTCTTAAATACTTCTCTCAGTTCTTAACAAGGCCTGGTATGATCTGACCCTTCAGTCTATGATTTTGCCATATAGGGTTTCATTCATTTTTTCCAAACATAGCTAGCTCTATCTGACCTTAGGGCTTTGCACTGACAGTTACCTGATAAAATAATAATAATAATGATAGCCAGTATTAATTGATCACTTTGTGTATGTCAGATACTGAGCTAAGCCCTTGAAATACATTCTCATGTAGTAGCCACAACCCTATGAGGCAGGTAGGTAGGTATCATTCATGACATTTTATGGAGAAAGGCTTAGAGAGGTCATGAAGTTTGCCTAAGTTTTTCCTTGCTGTTAAATTAATAAATACCTAATCGATTGAGGCTCATGCCTAGAATTTTGAGGCAAATGATAATCTCAACCAGTATACTGTTGCAGCAAAGTGACTTATACTCAGAAGACCTGGGTTGCAATGCTGGTACTGACCAGCAGTGTGACGTTAGACAAGACAACCTCTGAGAGTCAGTTTTCTTATCTGCAAAATAGAGACCATATTAGTACCTGTCTTATATGACTGTTGTACAGATCAGAGCCAAGCAGAATTCTAGGAACATAGCTGATATCCTATAATGTGTTAAAATGAACATGTGTGTTAGATGGATGAAAATGCTAGAGGTTGCCCCCATGGAGTTGTAGGTTCCCTCATTAAAAGAGGAAGAAATAAGACCCTTGAAAAAGCCTATCTTTAGCTTATCCAGCAGCACTTTTTCGTGTTTTCACTTTTATCATCTTGGATAAAATTAGGGATAGTGCAGGATTTATAATGTAATCCTATAATTAAGCATCTAGTAGGCAGGTCAAAACATTTTATACTAAATAGAAATTAAATGCAGTGGAACATTGAACCTTTGAAATACAAATACTGGAACCTTTAAAAATCCAAATATGTATGTTAAATCATCTAGTTTAATTTTAAATGTTTTGGATTGGCCAAAAAGTTCGTTCGGGTTTTTCCGTAAGCGCTTACAAAAACTCGAAGGAACTTTTTGGCCAACCCAATATTTCAAAATATGTTTACCGAAACAGAATTTTTGTATTAAAAAAATTGCAGGATTAAACTCTTCTTTCTGTGTTTGGACCCTGTTCCCAACTCTTTCTGCTGTATTAAAAGAGAATGTAGTGTCACTTCCAGAAGTTGTTTGGTGTGCTACCTGCCCATGGAGAGGAAGTCGCTTGGCGAATTCATTTCCTTCCGCTGTGTTCCTTTAGGTCTCAGAATGCAGTTGGCCCATCAGGCAGGCCCCCAGTCTGCACAACCTCTTTGCTGTGTGTCGGAATATGTATAACTGGCTACTACAGAATCCCAAAAACGTCTGTGTTGTCCATTGCTTGGTGAGTAACCTTTTCTTGTTGCTGTTGTGGCTATCATTCATGCTGGTTTGGTTTGGTCAAATACAAATGGCCTTACACAGACTGGTGAACCAGGTAGTGCTTAAGTTGAATAAGCATTTCTTAAGAACCCACTTAGGAATTAGGTGATGTGAAGGATATAAAATGAGGGGAAAACTTATTATTCTTGCCCTAAAGCTCGAATACCAGTGGTAGAGGCAGATATGTATACAACCCACATGATACAGGGCCTCTGGAATGTGCTAACTATTATAGAAGAGATAGAAACAAGAGCTGTGTGTGCATAGGCAAAAATGCCATTGAGTTTTGGATGAATAGAATTGACATAAGCACACTGGAATATTCTTTTCTTACCTTTATGTTTGAATAAAAATGAAATAAAAAGACATCTATGCCCTTATAAGTAGTCACATAGATTGACTGTATTTTATAGCAATTCCCAGTGGAACTGAGGATTTTTCTGACCACTGATTTCCTAGAGTCCCTTTCCCCAACCCTTCCTCTGGAGGGCTCTTGCCTATTGTTTAAAACTCAACTTTAGGTAAAATCTTTTTTGACAATATGGACATTCAACCTATATATCTAAATGTCTTTGGATTTAAGCATTTAATATACTGCATCATCATACTCTGGTGGCCTGCCTGTTTCCCCACTAGACTGTTAGCATCCTGTGGGCAAGAACTGTGCCTTTTTTACTTTGGAATCCCAGGTATGAAATATTTTTTTTTAACACTGTATTTTATTTTTACAAGAGATAAATAAACTGACACCAAGCATTGTAAATGGATGACCACAACAAAAGCAACAATGATTGCAATTACCAAACACAAAACACACTCACACTATCTCATTATATTGACATTCAGTCCAGGAATCCTCCACTGTAACAGCTCCTTTACTTTGCAGTGAAAATTGATTTGTATATTTTTTGCCTCTGAGTCCTTGTGGGATTTTTTTTTTTTTCTATTCAAACAGAAAGTCACAAGGTATGAAAGATTTGAATAAGCGATTGGATATATAAAGAAATGAACACACAAATGAAATCTGAGCATAAATACTAGAACTATTCATTGCCTCTGTAAACTTCAAGGTGTATTTTTTGCTATAATCTTAGTTGATGATTTTCTCCCTCTTTCTTGAGAGCTAGTTGGCTAAAAGAGGGATGAAAGCTGAGATTTTTTCTTCTTTCCATCTCACAACCCCAAATTCTTGGTAATAAAAGAAGAACACTTGGTGCTTCATAGGAGTTTAATGTGAAAGGCCAAAGGGTTTTCCTTTCAGAGACAGAACAGGTTGTATAAAGGACAGATTATTTTTAGAGACTAAGCAGCCTTTAGGTACTTTGGTGATTTTTTTCTTCACTCGAGAACTTTCTAAAAGTTCAGCGAGCCTAGGTCTGGCAGCTTTGTAAGAGAAGATGGCTCGAGAGAGACCAGAGGCTCCCAGTTCTAATGATACAATCATAACAAATAAAAACCCAATGAAGAAGAAAAAAGAAGAGACATACAAAGAGTGAAGACCCTATAGCCTGCTCTCTAGGCTTACTGAAAAAGGACATGCATGAGTTGGAAGTCTGCACCAAGTCTTTGGAAGTGGAATTGCAGCTGGAGGTGGGAGCATTTATTTTTATCCTATATATACTGCTGTTTTATTAAAAATAATCATATATTCATCTTTTAATTAAAAAAACTAAGAAAACTTTAAAAAAGACCTGCATGGCTGATAAAAGGAGGGAACACATATCTAAGAGCCATGAACCTGTTAAAAGAGTGTCAGGAAGACTAAATTCTAAAAAGAATTAAGATTGAGAAAAATGTCTTTTTAAAGAAAACTGTCCTTGGAATAAGGACAACAACAAATGCTGGAGGCACACGGTATAATCTTAAGTCCTTTATTCTGTTCCTTCATGGGGGAACAGGTGTCAAGCTAGAAGGGGAGTAACACTGATAATTAAGACAAAGCTGAGAGGTAGGGAGATAGTAAAAGAGCGTCACAATACTTAAAAATAATCCACTCTCTAGACTTAAATTATGTGACAGAATGCTAAAAGCACTTGGAAAAGCAATTATGGGTTCCTTATGCAGTATTGAGGAAACAGGAAGAAGAGTGCCAGTGAAGAAAGGAGAGGAGATTTTTTTTCCAAAAGATGGAGGAGGTTGATCCTGGAAAGTTACAGGCTGATGAGCCTGATGGCAATTCAAGGTGAAATTCGAACACAGTTTGTGCACAGATGATTTGAAACTCTTAGAAAAAAGGAGTCCACATCGATTCATTATGAACACACATATCAAACCAACTGGACTTTCGGAACAAGACGAATAGATTAGTAGAGATAGTTTATTGGAGTCCTGTGAGATATTTCCCCATTTCTTATATTCAAGATGGAGAAATTGGGGCTAAATTTTTAGACATTTAGACAACTATTGGCTGAATATTGCTTCCAAAGATAGGTGACTAATGGATCAGCATCCTCCCAGGAAAAGGTTGCATTTGGTTGCCCTTTTATTACAGCTTTGAAAATGTGGAGGCAAGCTTCTCAGGTTTCTCAGATGGGTCATTTCATAGAAACTACCAGTGTGAAATTAAACACAGGGTAAATGTAAAGTCCTGAATTCTGGTTCTAAAAGATTAAGTGTGTTTGTCCATTAACACATCATTTGAAAAAGAACTAACAGTTTTAGTGAACAGAAAGATCAATAAGAGCTCATGGTGTGATTTAGCTTACATTTAAACTAGTTTAGCCTGGGGTTATGTTAATAAAAGCAGAGGGTTCTTACCACACTAAGGAAGATGATATTTCCTCTCTAGTTTGGTCAGAGCACATCTTATATCTTGCATTTCACATCTGGGCAGCACATTTAAGGCTGTTGTTTTAAAACTGGAGTCTGTTAAGAGGAAGTCCACTGAATGATGATGTCTCTTAAAATGGAACATCAAATGAGGAAGAATTGAAGGGATTGTGTAGTAGTCAGGGTTCTCCAGAGAAACAGAACTGACAGGATATGTGTAGAGATACATATGTAAGAGGAGGTTTATTATAGGAATTGGCTCAAGTGATTCTGGAGGCCTAGAAGTCCCACAATCTGCCTCCTGCAAGATGGAGAACCAGGAAAGCCAGTGGTAACATTTAGTCCATGTTCGAAGCCCTGAGGACCAAGGGAGCCGCTGGTGTAGGTCTGAAAGCCAAGAGCTCCGATGTCCAAGAACAGGGAGAAGATGGGGGTCCCAGCTCAAGAAGACAAAGAGAATTCTCCCTTCCTTTGCCTTTTTGTTCTCTTTGGACCCTCAGCAGGTTGGATGATGCCAGCCCACTTTGGTGAGGGCGAATCTCCACGCAGTCTACTGATTCAAATGCTGATCTCTTCCAGAAACGCCCTCGCAGACACACCCAGAAATAATGTTCTACCAGCTCTTCGGGCATCTCTTAGTCCAATCAAGTTGTGACATAAAATTATCACAGATTGGGTATGTTTTCAACCTGGAAAATAGAAAAGTTGATGGAAAGGGAGAGTATTTCAGATATGTGAAGGGTTGTCCCAGGGAGAAAGGAGTAGGTTTACACTTTGTCCAGAGAGAAGGAAGAATGAGGATCGTTGAGTGGAATAGACTGCAACTCAGCATGTTCAAGTATAAGGAAGAACTTTGTGAAGTCCGTCCAGAAGCAGGATGCTCCTTGTCACTTAAAGTGTTCTAGAAGAAGCTGCTCACCATCTGTCAGGAATGTCATCGCTTGCATTCCTTTACTGAGTGCGGTTGAATCAGGTGAAGCTTCTTTATTTTATATCCATCTAGGAACATAACTCTGGGTAAAATACACACATCGCATATTCCAAAAAGCAGTATTTGCCTAACCTGAGAACTCTTTACCTTCACCCTAAACTGAGAGACCTCAACTATTCTGATCCTACAAGTCCAAAGTTACTTTGAAAACTAGATTATTTTTCAGTAAATATGTACAAAGCTAATTTATATTGCTGGGTTTCTTAGGTTAGCAGAGAGTCAGTTGTATCCTGAGAATCCGTCTTCCCTTGCTGCTTTGTGATTTAAGTAGCTGGGATAGATTTGGGTTTTCAGGTGAACAGTTTTGAACTGGCAGGCACATGTAGTTAAGATTTCTGTCCTCCACACGCCACGCCCAGACTCCCCACCCTTCACCTCTTTCTTTTAATTGCAAGTACCAGCCACTCTCCGTGTTGAGTGCCTGACCGACCCATGTTTATGACAAGTTTATACGTTTTCTTTGATAGGATGGACGGGCAGCATCATCAATTCTGGTTGGTGCTATGTTCATTTTCTGTAATCTCTACTCTACTCCTGGCCCAGCTGTTCGATTACTCTACGCAAAGCGACCAGGAATCGGACTTTCGCCATCCCACAGGAGGTAAAGTCAGCTAGATGCAGGGTTGGCGCAGACAGGGTCTAATTTGTATCATGTCCCCAAAAAAGGGGAAAAACCTTTTTATATAATCGATGTATTGTCTTCTCTCTTTGGGCACAGTTTCTTCTTTCTCTTATTTAAACTGCATCTCCTTACTTCCTCTTGGGTTAAAACTGCGTCGGATGATAAATTCTGATATTTTTTCTAAAGCTAGCCCTTAACTGATAAATTTAATCTGCCAGATCAAATATTGAGCTAGTGTAAAATGCTCATAAGCTTTTTCATTTAATAAATACCCCTTTGTCAGCTCTTCAGGGGGAAGTACAGCAGTGTCACTAGATAAAAGCTTTCCTAAGTTATGGCAGCATTCTCTTTTGCCAGTTAATGTTTAAAGAATTAACACAGCAAATTTTTATTGTAGGTTAATAATTTATGAGAGCAAACGTTCTAGCAAACCGACTGCTTATTTCTTCTGCTGTGGTCGCACCAACAGAATGTCTGCCTTGTGTTTTAGGTACCTGGGCTACATGTGTGACCTCCTAGCGGACAAACCCTACCGCCCTCACTTCAAGCCTCTCACTATTAAGTCGATCACTGTCAGTCCAGTTCCTTTTTTCAACAAACAGAGAAATGGATGTCGCCCTTACTGTGATGTACTGATTGGAGAAACCAAAATATATACAACTTGTGCAGATTTTGAACGAATGAAGTAAGTCATGATACTTTTCTTCATTTCTTCTTGTGAACTGCTCCATTCCTGTGTAAGTTGGATCCTATTCTTCCTTTGAGGACTACATTATGAAATGCCTGATATTTTAAAAAGTGTTCAATATAGGTGGTAATCATAGAAAAGCACAATTAAATCAAGGGATGCCGTAGCCCCCCTTCAAATGGTGATACAAACTAAGGGACTAACATGAGCTATAATAAGGGTTCAGACAGTGGTGTAGGGCAGAAGACCTGGACACTTAAGAAGGAGATGACCTTGATAAGAATTGGTGACGATAATGGAAGAATCAGGAACGAATGAGGTTTCTAGGTGAGCATCTAGGTAGATGGTCATGTAATTAAAAAGTTATAGAATCTGTAATAAAGGGCAAGTACCAGTGGGAGGTGGTGGGAGATATGGAAGAAGGGACTAGATGATAACAGAAAATGAAATTGATTGGAAATAGATTGCATTTCAAAATTGGTATATGAGATACTCACAGAGCATCTCACTGCTGTTTCTATATTGATCTCAGTTAGACTTCTTTGTTCTCTCTCTGTTTTTATCATAAATTTACAGTTAGGGCAAGGTAAATACATCAGGGCTACATGTATTTGGGGAAAACGTTTTCTGCTAATGGGCAATTGATTTATCTAGAAACCAGGATGGGTTCGAGAGAGAGGACCTGGCATAAGACCAGTGGCATCCTGTGGCAGAACCAGTTTGCATCCAGTTGGCACTTGCTGTGCTCCTGACTTTGCTTAAGATAAGAAATGGTTCCTGGGTTCAGGCCTGGGCCAACAGGTGCCTTGGCCAGAGCCACAGAAGACTGCCTGTATTGTATACCTGTATTACTGTGCCAGATTAGACTCTCTCTCAGTGTATGCTTTTGTCTCTGTTTAAAGAGAGTACCGTGTCCAAGATGGAAAAATCTTCATTCCCTTGAGCATCACTGTGCAAGGAGATGTGGTTGTTTCCATGTATCACTTGAGGTCAACCATTGGAAGCCGGCTACAGGCTAAGGTATGGTTTCAGAAAGAATTATGATATAAGCTCAGCTGATCCTTTAATAGGAGTGTACATCACTTTGGGCTTGAGTGACTTCGGTTTTAGAATCAGAAAAAACATTTAAAGATTACCTTTGGAAACAACCTAAATGTCCATCAACAGATGAATGGATAAAGAAAATGTGGTAGAGGGACTTCCCTGGTGGCACAGTGGTTAAGACTCCCCCTGCCAATGCAGGGGACACGGGCTCGATCCCTGGTGTGGGAAGATCCCACATGCTGCGGAGCAACTAAGCCTGTGCACCACAACTACTGAGCCTGCACTTTAGGGCCCACATGCCGCAACTACTGAGCCCGCGTGCCATAGCTACTGAAGCCTGCGCGCCTAGAGCCCGTGCTCCGCAACAAGAGAAGCCACCGCAAATGAGAAGCCCACACACCACAACGAAGAGTAGCCCCCACTCTTGCCACAACTAGAGAAAGCCCACGCACAGCAACGAAGACCCAATTCAGAGAGAAAAAAGAAAAAGAAAAAGAAAATGTGGTGTATATATGTATATATAAATATATATATAAAAATTCGATTATATATACATAATGGAATACTACTCAGCCATAAAAAAGAATGAAATAATGCCATTTGCAGCAACATGGATGAACTTAGAGATGATCATACTAAATGAAGTAAGCCAGGAAGAGAAAGACAAATACCATATGATATTACTTTTATATGGAATCTAAAATATGACACAAATGAACTTATCTAAGAGACAGAAATAGACTCACAGACATAGCAAACAGACTTGTGGTTGCCAAGGGGGAGGGAGGTGGGGGAGGGATGGATTGGGAGTTTGGGATTAGCAGAAGCAAACTATTCTATTATAGAATGGATAAACAACAAAGTCCTACTGTATAGCACAGGGAACTATGTTCAGTATCCTGTGATAAACCATAATGGAAAAGAATATAAAAAAGAATGTATAAATATGTATAACTGAATCACTTTGCTGTGCAGCAGAAACTGACACAACATTGTAAAGCAACTATACTTCAATAAAAAAAAGAAAACTGCAGGGCTTCCCTGGTGGCTCAGTGGTTGAGAGTCCGCCTGCCGATGCAGGGGACACGGGTTCGTGCCCCGGTCGGGGAAGATCCCACATGCCGCGGAGCGGCTGGGCCCGTGAGCCATGGCCACTGAGCCTACGCATCCGGAGGCTGTGCTCCGCAACGGGAGAGGCCACAACAGTGAGAGGCCCGCGTACTGCAAAAAAAAAAAAAAGAAAGAAAACTGCAAAAAAAAAAAAAAGATTACTTACGCCCATTGCCTTCATTTTACAGGGGAAGAAACTAAGCCTCAGAGGTTTTGACTTGCCCAGATGGTTTTGCCAGAAGATGGAAGCCCAAGGACTAAAGAGCAAACCTTGCTCTTTAGAAACTTGTGCCTTTTTTATAGTGCCCTATTTGGATCGGGGTGAGAGGAGATATTTCTATTGAGGATGTGGGATTAAGTAATCACACTTTTTCAATTTTTAAATTGAGATAGAATTTACATAACATAAAATTCACCCTTTTGAAGTGTACAGTTATTTTTAGTATTTTCAAAGAGTTGTGCAGCACCGCTAATTCCCAAACATTTTCAACACCCACGAAAGAAACTCTACACCTCTTAGCAGCCACTGTCCATTCCTCCTCCTCCATTCCCTAGGCAACAAGGAATCTACTTTCTGTTTCTATGGATTTGCCTACGTTGGACGTTTCATGTAAATGGAATCATACAATGTGCGGTCTTTTGTGACTGGCTTCTTTCACTTAGCCTAATGTTTTCAAGGTTCATCCATGTTGTAGCATATATCAGTACTTCTTTATATACCCAGATAACATTCCATTGTACGGTTATATAGCTTTTATTAACCTCTTCATCATTTGATGAACATTTACGTTATTGCCACTGTTTGGGTATCACAAATAACGCTACAGGTAATTTCATTTAAAAAAATTTTATTTATTGAAGTACAGTTGACTTAAAATGTTACATTAGTTTCAAGTGTACAACATAGTGATTCATTACTTTTATAGATTACACACCATACAGAGTTATTATAAAATATTGACTATATTCCCTGTACTATACATTACATCCTTGTGACTTATTTATTTATTTATTTTTTATTCGAGTATAATTGCTTTACAGTGTTGTGTTAGTTTCTGCTGTACAATGAAGTGAATCAAGAGGGAGAGGATATATGTATCCATATATCCTCTCCCTCTTGGACCTCCCTCCCACCCCCCACCATCCCACCCATCTAGGTTGTCACAGAGCACCGAGCTGATCTCCCTGTGCTATACAGCAGGTTCCCACTAGCTGTCTATTTTACACATGTAGTGGTTTGTTAAACCCAGTCTCTCAATTCATCTCACCCTCCTCTTCCCCCGCCCATGTCCACATGTCCGTTCTCTACATCTACGTCTCTATTCCTGCCCTACAAATAGGTTCAAAAACAGAAATACAGATCAGTGGTACAGGATAGAAAGCCCAGGGATAAACCCACGGACATACAGTCACCTAATTTATGACAAAGGAGGCCAGAATATACAATGGAGAAAAGACAGCCTCTTCAATAAGTGGTGCTGGGAAAACTGGACAGCTACATGTAAAAGAATCAAATTAGAACACTCCCTAACAGCATACACAAAAATAAACTCCAAATGGATTAAAGACCTAAATGTAAGACTGGACGCTATAAAACTCTTAGAGGAAAATGTAGGAAGAACGCTCTTGGTCGTAAACCACAGCAAGATCTTTTTTGACCCGCATCCTAGGGTAATGAAAATAAAACCAAAAATAAACAAATTGGACCTAATGAAACTTAAAAGCTTTTGCACAGCAAAGGAAACCATAAACAAGATGAAAAGACCACCTCAGAGTGGGAGAAAATATTTGCAAATGAAGCAATGGACAAAGGATCAATCTCCAAAATATACAAACAGCTCATGGAGCTCAATATCAAGAAAACAGACAACCCAGTTAAAAATGGGCGGGTGACTTATTTATTTTATAACTGGTAATTTGTGCCTCTTAATCCCCTTCACCTATTTCACCCTTCTCCCCTGTGACAACCACTAGTTCGTTCCATGTGTCTGTGAGTCTGTTTCTGTTTTGTTATGTTTGTTCATTTGTTTTGTTTTCAGAGTCCACATATAAGTAAAGCATACAGTATTTACCTCTGTCTGACTTACTTCACTAGGTATAACACCCTCCAGGTCTATGCATTGTGTTGCAAGTGGCAAGATTTCGTTCTTTTTTATGGCTGAGTAATAACCATATATTACATCTTCTTTATCCATTCATCTGTCAGTGAGCCCTTAGGTTGCTTCCATATCTTGGCTGTTGTGAATAATGCTGCTATGAACTCAATGTTAAAAAACAAACAAACAAAAAAAAAACCACAATTTAAAAATGGGCAGAAGACCTAAATAGGCCTTTTTTCCCAAAGAAGACATACAGATGGCCAACAGACACATGCAAAGATGCTCAACATCACTAATCATCAGGGAAATGCAAATCAAAACCACAGTGAGTTATCACCTCACACCCATCAGAATGGCTATTATCAAAAAGGCAAGGAATAACAAGTGTTATTATGGCAAAGGTGTGGAGGAAAGGGCACCCTAGTACACTGTTGGGGGGGATGTAAATTGCTACACCAATATGGAAAACAGTATGGAGTCCCCCCGCCCCCTTGCCCAAATTAAAAGTAGAACTACCACATGATCCTGCAATTTCACTCCTGGGTATCTATCTGAAGAAAATGAAAACACTAATTCGAAAAGGTATATGCACCCTAATGTTCATAGCAAGTAATTGTATTTTAATTCATTAAATATTAGCTAAGTACATACTCTGTGCCAGTCATTGCCTAGGGGTTTAGGATTGACAAGAGTAAAACTGTATCTCTGCCTTTAAGGAGCTCAGGTGAAATTCACACATGTACAAATATCCACTACCATTTTAGAGGTAGGATGAAATGTCATAATGGGAGCAGTTTGTTTTATCCAGTGGTGGTTCAGAAAGGCTACAGAGGATGTGACCTTTCAAGGTGGTCCTTGAAGGATGAGTTCATGAGGTTGGAGCAGGGGCATCCTGGACAGAAGGAATGGGATGAGTCAAAGTATTGCAAGGTGTAAGAACATAGGGCATTAGCAGATAAAGGAATGGCTTGCCAAGGCAGAGTTCGTGGAGAGGAGAGGCTAGAAATGAACCTGGGTCAGCTCCAAATGAGGAGGTTGTTTAATATTCATAGAAAACAAAGACGCTATAGAAACAGTTGATGGTGTATGACTCCCCCAAACATAATCTTTGGATCTGATTCCCTTTTCAGTGGTTGATTGTAATGTGCTTCTCTTGTATTTTTAGGTGACCAACACTCAGATATTCCAGCTTCAGTTTCATACTGGATTCATTCCACTGGACACAACAGTTTTAAAGTTCACCAAGTGAGTGCTACTTGGGCCAAAATCCCTTTTCAATCCAAGCAGCTGTGAAGTGCTAGGAGTCAAGTGCTAAAGGCTCATTAGTGCCATGCTGCAGCTTCCCCCCAAAACCTGTGCTTCAGGGCTGTAGCCTGTGGCTTAGCAACATACAGAGGCTGGTTGCATTTTATAACTTTCAGGTGGGCGTGATTTGTCCTAAACACAAGTGGATCAGACTTCAAACTGAAAGGTCTAAAATACCATCGGAGGGAACAAGAGTGAACAAAGAGGGAACAGAGTTTCAATACCGTGATCCTTTGCATCTGTGTATCCCTTTGTGTTTTGCAACATGGAAGGCAGTGGAATCAGCAGTATGATATGAGCAATGACCAGTCAGAATGGATGCCAGGCCACAGCACTGAAGCAGGGTCTTGGGGGACCCCCCTGCACCAAATATTATAGCACCCTTAGTTGCTATTGTTAAAGTGTGGCCTAGAGAACTCAAGGGAGTGGCTGAAGGTGGGGTGATAGGTGGGAGTTGCTGGGGTCAGCTTAGGAGTAGACATTCAAGAGCTCAAGGTGGTAGCTCTGGGCTTATTTCACTATTTTAACAACTGATTTGGTCCTGCCAGTGCTTACTGTCTGGATATATCCACCCTGCTATCTAGAATGCTTTCACGTGCAGTAGTATTTAAATTCTATGGGTAGGCATTATTTTCCTCTTTTCTCTAGATAAGGAAACTGAGACTCAGAAAAGTAAAGTCTCTCGTCTGGTTAATGGTTGATTTTTCCCTAGAAATGCGTCTCAGAGTGAAACTAAGAATCAATCTACAATGGTTTCTGTGCCGAACATCATACTGGTTCCATTGTTTTTCACTGATCTTATTCTTTGAAATCCCTATTTAGGCCTGAGTTGGATGCATGTGATGTACCAGAAAAATATCCTCAGCTATTTCAGGTGACTCTGGATGTGGAACTACAGCCCCATGACAAAGTGATAGACTTAACCCCCCCATGGGAACATTACTGCACAAAAGATGTCAACCCTAGCATCCTCTTCTCTTCTCACCAGGAGCATCAAGATACTCTGGTCTTAGGAGGTATGAGTCACCTGGTGGTTTTGTTTTCAGGACGAAGCCTCTGTGTGATTTCTCACATTGATTTATTTCCTGTGCTTCCTTGATGTCTTTTGTCTTATAGGACAGGCTCCAATAGACATCCCTCCAGACAACCCCAGACATTTTGGGCAAGGCGGCTTCTTTTCCACTCTCTGTTGGCAAGGTACTTCTAAGCATTTCTTCCAAGTTACATGGTTAAGTTATGTGGTTCTTGTATATATAAAGAGGATGCGTCCTCGAAGCAGCCTAAAGTAAAGCAGCATTTAGAAGTCATCCATCTAGGGTCTTCTTTGTTTCACATTCTTCCTGCTCATTCCTTTTCCAGATCAGGAGCTTCCCTGCTTTGAACTCCATGGATGCTCTTAGATTGATGCCAAAGGCCATGTTAAGCTGAACTTCATCTTTTCTGTCTATGCAGTGTTTTGGATCACATCTTTCCTGGATTTATGAATAATCATGATATTTTCTAGGATCTCCCTGTACACTGCTGACACACAAAGAAATTAACAAAGGACTCTATCTCCTGCCCTTAAAAATATAGAATCTGGCACACTACTCCACCCACCCCGCCCAGGGCTCTAACCACCAGCAGGGCAGAGGTGAGCTTCCCCTGGGACGGGGAAGGCAAAACTTTGCCTACGTAGCTCCGCTACTTGCTTTAACAACCTTGGCAGAAATTGGGCTCGATCACAATATCCTTTTTTGCCAAACCTGGAGATGTGTTTAGAATCCTTCCCGATGTGACACTTCAGACTGCTACCGTTAGTAGACTAGCCTTGGCATTCTGATCGATACCCATTGGCCATCCTTGTTTTAGAGTTTGCTGAGGTTAACTGCAAAGTTCGATGTAGAATTCCATGGTAAGGACTTTCTTAAGAAAAGGGCAGGAAACTGGCTTTGGTGATAGTGTACTTACAATCCTCTTGATTGACCTTCCTTTGCCATGTAAACATAAGACAGGATTCCCATTGCCTACACAGAGTTTTCCATGTTTGATAAAAAAATTGTTCATAGCATTCCTTTGAATCAAAGTCTTGCTTTCAGAATTTTCTACTGAGAAATGGGACCAATAACATTTTAAAAATTGGAAAACCCCAGTGAAATCTAGATAGCAGGTAGATTTCCCAACCCCCTCTTAGTTTCACCTATATCTTTCTTCCTCACATAAAGGCTTTTAAGAAAACTTTACTTTTACTCTCCACTGCTATTTTAGTAAGTAATTTAGAAATCATTCTTATCAGGCTATAAAATAGGTTAAGCACATATGCACAATCTTTTATCTGAACCCAGCAGAGCCAGATGGGTTTAGGAATGCAGAATTTTTTGCAAGTTAGAAAGATGATACGGTACATAAACTGCAGATTACTTAGAACCCCCAGTGGCATCTCAGACAATGTGTTATCAAACATGTGAAAATGTCTGTAGTGAAACATAACTCATAACCCTGAGTGAAATCAATGAAGACTATAACTAACTTTCATGTCAGTCCCAGTCAGATTTTTCCACCAGTTTAGGGAAACCTTTCCTTTTTCACAGCTTTTTGCATTTCAGAATTGGGGATGAGGGATGTGGATCTGTACTTGATTTGGAACGTGGGTCCATCTGACAGTAAGTAACAGAGTTAGAAAGAGGGCTCTGTTTCAAGGAGGGCCTGGAAAGTCACTCACCAGCCTCTCCATTCCTTCCCCAGAAGAGGCCCCATTTTATGCAGAAAGGATCTCCTCCTAGGTTGGTGTAAGGACCATCCTAAGCAGAGCCGTTCCCTCTATTCACTTATTAGGTGTGGGCTTCGCTTCTGCTCCAGACTGTGGGAGAAAGACCTTGCTTTTGGCTGCAGGCCACATGGAGAAGAAGAAGTGAGAGGAGGCAGCAGAGGACTAGGATATAATGTTTTTTTCAAAGCACCGAGCATAGTGCTGGGAAAAAGAAGAAGATGATGATGATAGTAGTAAATTTAAAAAATAATAAAAACCACTTAAGTACTACTTTCTATTGATCTGAGCACTTTCCATATATCATCTCATGTAATTTTCACAATAGTCAATGTGAGCTAGGTTCTATTTATTACTCCCATTTTGCTGAGGAGAAAACCCAAGGCACAGAGAAGTAAAGTCACTTTCTCAGTGTCACAGAGCCAGTAAGTAGCAGAGATGAGATTCAAACTCAGGCTGATTCTAGAGTTCTTGCTCTTCACTCCTATGCTATACTGCCTCTCAGATGCTCAACAAGTAGTCATTGAATATAATGTGAAGTACATCCAGGTTTTCCATTGGTAAGGGTCTAAAAGCATTGTGTGTTTTTCAGGCTTCTCTTTCTCTCTTTCTGAAGTTAGGTACATAGACTCTAACAAAAAGCAATAATGCCGTGGCTGGTAACTAACTGTTTCCTGGCACAATGGCCTTCCTTAGATCAGAAATCGGAGAAATCATTCTGTGAGGAGGACCACGCTGCCCTAGTGAATCAGGAAAGTGAGCAGTCGGATGATGAACTTCTGACCCTTTCCAGTCCACATGGCAATGCCAATGGCGACAAACCTCATGGAGCCAGGAAGCCCAGCAAAAAGCAGCAGGAGCCAGCTGCCCCTCCACCCACTGAGGACGTGGACCTTCTGGGTCTAGAAGGGTCTGCAGTGAGTAAGAACTTCTCTTCACCGGCGGCTCCTCCCACCAATTCCGAACTTCTGAGTGACCTGTTTGGGGGTGGAGGTGCAGCCGGCCCTGCCCGGGCTGGACAGTCAGGGGTGGACGACGTGTTTCATCCGAGTGGACCTACGTCTACCCAGTCAACACCGCGCCGGTCCACCGCCTCCACCTCTGCGTCTCCAACACTGAGAGTAGGAGAAGGTAATTGTTTTTCATGTTGCGCTGTACCTCTCAGTGTTGAATTATAACTTTGGGGCCAAGCAGGTGGAATCGAACTTTCCTAATAATCTAGACTTCTCTGATCTCCCTAGTAGTCCCCAAAAGGTCTGTATCTTCATGTCAGTGGGGACCACAAGAGGAAATAGAAATAGTGTCCATTTTGGTAGGACAGTCTAAGAATGAATATTTGAACTTGTCACCCTTACTTTAACTTTTTTTTCAGGGCTTTAGCCCCTGAGCTGCTTTAGTTATTTCTGCTCGGAGATGTAAATTGATGAATTGTTGTTAATAATAACAGGTACTATTTGTGGGCTACTTACTATTTGCCAAACATGGAGTTTGACACTAGCCATAAATTCAATCTTTATAAAAACACAGTAAATAGGTGCTATTATCTCCATTTTATAGTTGAGGAAATAGAGGCTTAGGGTCAAATTAGTAGCATATTTTTATACAGCTAGTCCTAGGGTCCAAAACCAGGCCATTTGACTCCAGAGCTTTCCCTCAGTTTTCCTGTAATGCCTTCCTGGAATTGTAGTTTTCTGAATACACTTTGGCTGTGCAGAGAAGTACTTGCTTACTTCAAGATATATTTAAGGGACTGCTGCCAGCAGCACAGCTGGCGGAGCAGAGCAGTTGGTGCCAGATACAGAGTCTGAGCCCCATGAGGCTCAGTCAGCTTCACTCTGCTCATTGCCACAGACTCAGCCCTTCCTGTGACTGGTCATCCACCATTCTTTAACATTTGCAAGACAGTAGAGTTGGGTAAGCAGAGGTCCATTATAGCTTCTAAAGAACTAGCCGCCCTTGTTATCATCCCCCATTAACCAAGATGACATCACATTAGGAAGAGTAAAGAGGAGTGTCTCCACTCTCCAGGCATGTGGTAACCTTCAGGAACTTTCTTTCCCAGGATCATCCTTCACTTCTCAGAAGGCTTTGGGCTGGTCTTGATTTATGGTGGTTCAACTGGAGCCATTCTTTACATGAGTGAGTTTCAGAATCATGGACTGTAGGTGGTGAGGCTCACGTTCCTACATTAGTTATTGATGGAGCCACAGTGTGAAGCCAGGTGCCCTGAATCCCAGGCCATTTCCTCTACCCTTCAGCAGTTCTTACTCACCACAGTGAACAAAAGCTCTGTCAGGAAAAGAAGTCCCTGGGATCCAAGATAGCATAGTACTCAATGGTTGTGTTTTTAAGACCGTGTACCTTATGTGACTTTCACTGATTTAATTCATCATAGTCCCAGGCAGGTAGTTATGTTCCAGAGTCAGATCTAGAGGGGACCTTTCAGACATTAGGTAAATCTGTGCCTCAGGTTATAGACAATGAAATTGAGGCCAGCTGTGTTAATTGACTTGTCAAAGGATACACAGCTGATTAGTGCCAATCCAGATCTGGAACTCAGGTATTCTGTCCTCCAAGAGGAAGTAGAAAGAACACTGAGTCCAGAGTTAAAGACTTGGATTTGAATGTCAGGACTGACACTCACCTATTTGTGTAGGCTTATTAAAAAACCTTAATCTTCTTAGCTGTGAAATGGGAAAATACTTACCTATCAGCATTGTTGTAAAGACTAAATTTTAGCTCTTGTCTTGTGTTGGGAAGTTCACTTTTAGTTATTAGAGAATGTTGCTAATTTAACATAAGTTGATATTAAAAGTATACCAAGTAATAGTGAAAAGATTTTAGCATCCTCTACTGGTTGACTTCAAACTTAGGTGTAGAAGAATTAACCCAATGTCCTCTTACAGTTACTCTATAAATCTCAGTATTCTCATTTTATAGAAGGGATAAAGTTTTGTAAGTCAAATGAGGTAAGGGATATACATCATGTAACAGAGTGCCTGACATATCATTGATTCATTGCTGCTACACAAGGCTCATCTGCTGCCCAGCAGATATTAGGAGAGCATTATGCCAATGAAGTCATAGCTGAACACATATTAAATCATATATCCTACCTGGGTTTTGAGAGTGGAATTTATTCCTTAACTTGTTTGATTCTAGTTGTCTGTTACTAGAATAGGTCACTCTCACTCCAGGAAGAGCCCATTAGCTTGATACTTACAAATTAGGAAGTGACATCTTACTACAGGGAGCTAAAGGGAATTTTGTCCCTTGACCAATAATGAGAAATTAAAGCCCAATTATATACGTGCCACTCTGCGTGGTTTTCATCACATTCACTTCACACCTGTGAGGAATGTGAGATGCCTTTGGGAAATTCCTGGAATTTGGAGTCAGAAAACTTGAACATGAGTCCAGCCTTATCATTTGCTTGACATTGGGCAAGAAACTTGGCTCTCTGAACCTCAGTTTTGTTGTCTGTGGAATGAAGATAATATCGCTTCTATCTGACAGGGAGATATTAAGGATCAACTGAGGTATTCTTTATGAAAGACAACGGTAAACCCTGAAAAAATGATACAGTATTAATATTATTGCATTTTTGCTAGAAACCTCAGCTGCCACTTTGTTCTAGTATCCTTGGTTCATTCACAAACTTTTTCTCATTTCACTACATCTGCATCTAGTTTCTGGCAAGTTGTTGACAGGCAATGCTTCAGAAATATTTTAGCTTCACAGGACAAGGTATGATAAGAGTTCAGTTTTTGTCATGCTCAGTTTCTTCCCTTTTTAACTTTCAGTGAGCCAGAGACCACTAAGAGCACAAACAAAACTAAACAAAACCTGGTCAATGAGGTTTTCTATTGTTCACCTTAATAGCAGGGCCCCCCGCCTGGTTTTGGTCCACGAATTCACTGAATATGAGCACAGTGCATTCATTGGGTATCTCCTATGGTCCAGGCATTGTTTCACCACTCATCTATTAGTCTGTAAGCTTGGCTGACTTATTTTATGTTATTAAGACACCCGAAGGCCCAAGGGGCCCTTGCTTATAGTGTTTATGGTTCATCCAACAGGTAAATCCAGAGTTCTCCTTTGTCCACAAAGAAGGGATTATTCACGTGTGGTCAGAAATCCTTGGGATCCATTGTTAACCCTAGAGGAAGTTATAAGGCTAGGATGGGTCTGTAGAACAGCCTGTGAGGCAGGCATCATCCTGATTTTTCAAGTATTTGGCCTACGGCCTTGTAAGAGTGACAGCTCTTCAGTCGTTGAATGGGTGAACTCATAGGACAAAGAAATACTTTTCTCCTCTTGTTTTCTAGGTGCCACCTTTGACCCATTTGGAGCACCTGCTAAACCATCAGGTCAGGATTTGCTGGGTTCTTTTCTGAATACAGCCAGTGCTTCCAGTGACCCCTTTCTTCAGCCTACGAGAAGCCCTTCACCTACAGTGCATGGTAAGGAAGTATTTTATATTGTGTTCAGTGGAGCATGGTTTTGCACCGATAGCAGGAGGTGCTCAGATATAAAAGCACCCTGTAGGTGGGGTTTTTCTGGTTTTTGTTTTTTTGGAAAGCTACATAATGCATCTCTCTTTTGAAAATTAACAGTTCACATTAACATATTAAAAGCTCTGAGATATTTTACAGTAAAGAAGTCTACTTAACTTTGTTTTACTCAGCTTTCCTAAAATTTAATTTGGAATTTTTTTTTTTTTTTTTACATTAGAGCTACATGCACAGAATTATAGGACATCATTAATTGTAGCACATTTCTTTGTTTTATGTACTATTAAGAAAGAAGACCAAACACTGCCACTTCTAGTTGATTGGAAGGTGCATACTAGTAGAAGTCTTTGAAATGTGAAAAAATGAGTCCTAGGTTAATAAAAGGTGATACGATGGGCATTTCACAAAATTAGTATTCCACAGAACAGTTTAGAATACAATATCCTGGTGTATTAGACTAGCTCTAATATGAAGCCACTAACCACACATGGCTTTTGAGCACTGGAGATGTGGCCAGTCTGATTTGAAATGCACTCTTAAGTGTAAAGTGCATACAAGATTTCAAAGCTCAGTACAAAAAAAAGTAGAATATCTTATTAATATTTTTATATTGGTCACTTGATATAATTTTTTGAATATATTGGGTTAAATAAAATATTTTGTTAAAATTAATTTTACTAGTGTCTTTTTACCTTTCTTAATGTCACTACTAGAAAAGATTTAAATTATGCATGGCCCACATTATATTTCTGTGTTAGAGGCTTAGGTTGTGTAGAAAGAATCGTAATCACATCCATTTGTAAGAGCAAAAAGGTATCACTTAGGTAACACTGATTAAAACCAAAGCTCTTCAGTGAAGGACAGATGACTTTGAGCTGGAAAACTGAAGCTCATTCCTAATGTTGAAGGATATTGAACATCATTGGCCTCAACCTAGAGGACGATGTATTTGTTGTTGAAGGCACCCTGAGTCCCCTTGGAGAATGCAGTCCAGTCATCAGCTTGACTTCATGCAAATGCAAAAGGAAGATGAGTTGTGCAACACTGGTCAAACTGTAACGACCGAAAAGGAGAAAGCAGTCCAAGAACAACCTTTATGGGTGATTTCCTGTTGGTCTTAAATCTCAAACTATTTGAAGCGGGTCCACAGGACAACATTCAAGAAATTCACCTCTGACCTTTAAGTAGTGCCCGCTTAAAAGAATCTCCTGATTGGAAGTTGGCTACCCTGAGAGGCAAGACGCAGGCAGATAGGTTAAAGCTGTTGTTTTTGTTCACTTATTTGAAGTGTAGGTTACGTCATTGCTCAAAATCTCCATGCCTCAATCAGCATGGAAGCCAAAGTCCTTGAAATGGCCTATGTAGGCCCTTTGTGCTCTAGCACCCAGGGCTGTGACCTCCTTCCCCATTCTGTCCCTCTTGCTCACTCCATTCCAGCCACACTGGCCTCTCTGTTGTTGCACTGGTGTCCCCTCTTCCCAAGACATCGGCATAGCTAATTCCTTCACCTCTTTGGTCTTTACTCAGCTGTCAGCTTCTCGATGGGGTTTACTCTGACTGCCCCATTTCACATTAAAACCCATCCTCCTGCTTCTCTGCATTTTCCTTTCCATTGTACTTGCCAACTTTAATATACTCAATAATTTACTTATGTGTTGTTTATTTTTGTTGTCTTTCTCTCCCCACTAGAACATGAGCTCACAAAGGCAGGGATTTTTGTTCGTTTTGTTTATGAATGTTTCTGTAGTGCCTAGAAGAGTTATTGGCACACGGTAGGTTTTATCTATCTGTCTTTCCATATAATATATAAATATAAAATGAATTGTAACTTTTTCCTATCTAAGTCTCTTCGATGCATAATGATAATATTAGTAAGGTTATATATTTTCCTGACTTTAATACTTTGAATTTACTGTTTTCATATGAGTACTACCTTTTATGTCCCATGGGTATGGATGTTCATACTTTGGCATGGCAGTAGTGGACTCAGTTCTGTCTTGTGAGCATGTTAGAAGACGTTTATAGCTCAGTTTCAGACAGTTAGCACTCCTTCGTTTTGTGGCTACACTTCTTATTTTGATCTGTGCCATGCTGGTGAGTGAAAGAATTTTCCACTATCCTTGATGAGAAGGGACTTACTCCACTGTTAGTAGGTCAGTTACATCCTCTTCATATACAGGTGAGACTCAGGTGTCATATTGGGAGGTCAGATTGCCCACCTTGGATTTCTACAAGGCACCGTCAGTCTCTTCTGAAAATCAAGAAATATTGCCTTTGAGTTTTACAAATATTTATTGAATATCTACTCTGAAGAGAATAATCATTTGGGGCACAATTTGAGAAGAAAAACTAAACAAGTAACTATAATAAAAGGCAAAATAGAAGTTTAAAATATTGGGTAATTACTGGTTCATTTGTTTATTCCTTTCTCTCCAGCAGATTTTAAGTTTCTGAAGGAGAGGTACTGTGTCCTTAAGCTCCCTGTTCTCTAGTGTGGTGCCTTATGTGTGGTAGGTGGTAAGGATTTGAGGGTTTGATTAGTAATAAGGTTGAAGTACTAATTCCTAGTTCTGCATCCTAGTTAGATGTAAGACTAAGGTCAGAGTTTACAGGAAAACAAAGAGCAAATGTTAGTAAAATTGTCTGATTTCTACCTCAGTTTTCATGGATTACTATGGAAAAAGGGAAGAACTGTTATTTTTGATAATGGCATGTTCTGTTTAACTCAATGATGGGAAGGTACACAATGTCTTGGTTCGTACTAAGCAAACAAAACAGGTAAATGTAAGGCTTGGTAAAGCTAATCTTGGTCCTTTGATGATCCTTTTGGTGGCGGTGGGGGAGTGTGTGTTGTATCTTAAATCCTACTTGCAAAGTTATTTTAGTATTTGTGTTGTACTCACTGATTTAATGAACAGAACCTAGAAGAGTCTTAGAAAGAAATTCTGTCTTATGGCATCCTATTTCTTATTTGAATTTTATAGATGTAGAAAAAAACTTACTCTACCAGTGTGTACTCCTCTAATATATCCATTTCTCTTTAGCTGAACATTTCTTTTAAATTCTACATTTGGAACTTCGAGAAGGGTCAGAATGATCAATTTTGAAGCTGCAGTGAGTTTTTTTTGAGTGACAGTATATACATACCTGACACCAGCATGGTGGGTGGTATCTAGTCAGTCCCCAGTACATGTTCTGATTGACTCATCATTCTCCATTCATGTCACAGTGGAGGAGAAAACAGAATTTCAGTTCTAAGTTGCCCGTGCCTCTCGTACACTTGTTAATGCCAATTCAAGGCAAATTGAGTTTAAGTTTCATTTCACTATTTTTAATTGCCAGCCGACTTTGTGTTAAGTGTAGAGATGGGACACACAAAGATGAATAATATAATTTTCACAGTTCACAGAAACTCACAGTTTATTGGAGACAGACATGTGCACCATTATAATTCAAAGTGTAGTTATGAGGTAAAATAAAAGTGAGCCAAAGAAGGAGCAGAGACAGTTTATGGCTTCTTCCGGTGCTCATGTAAGCAACCATAGATGAAAGCACGAAATAACAATGTTGCAGAATGTGGGGAGAGCTCAGAGGGGGAGTTGAATCACCTGGGACCTGGACAGGTCATGAGGCCTCATGAGAGGGAGAGCATTTTCCTGTGTGAATTCAGAAAAGTGGATTCTTTTTTTTTTACATCTTTATTGGAGTATAATTGCTTTACAATGGTGTGTTAGTTTCTGCTTTATAACAAAGTGAATCAGTTATACATATACATATGTTCCCATATCTCCTCCCTCTTGCGTCTCCCTCCCTCCCACCCTCCCTATCCCACCCCTCCAGGTGGTCACAAAGCACCGAGCTGATCTCCCTGTGCTACACGGCTGCTTCCCACTAGCTATCTACCTTACGTTTGGTAGTGTATAACAGAAAAGTGGATTCTGAGCTATGTTGTCCTGATTCTTTTTCTTCTCCTCATTTGCAGCTTCTAGTACACCTGCTGTGAACATTCAGCCAGATGTTTCGGGAGGTTGGGACTGGCATACTAAACCAGGTAATGGTCAGCAGATTAATTTTGTGCACACTTAACCGGTTGCCGAAGCATAATCCTTTACCCAAGATGAAGTGAGTACGTACAGAGTGTTAAGCCCACCTGAGAAAGTTCCTAAAGGCTCCCAGTCTGGCGGAGCTTTTCACATTGCCCTCGATGGCATGGTTGTGCTGCATGTTATATGGTATTTAACTTGTCTAAGTCTCATTTGCTAAATGCCTTGACAATAAATTGAGTTAGACAAATCTGGGTTTATATCTAACTCAACCGTTTAGAAGCTCTTGGATTTTTTACAAGTCTTAACTTCAGTTTTCTTATCTGTAAAATGGGGTTCCTAATTCTTGTTCCACACAGTTAAGTGAAATAACTTATGTGAGATTTTCTGGCATAGAGTAGGTGTTGCATAATCTGAATGGTTTTCTTTCTTCACAAAGGACTTGTTTGGGGGCTGGATTTGTCTATAATAAATAAATTCTCTTTCTGATGGCTAGTATTGTATTTCTTGAGAGCCATCTTGTGTGATTGTTTCCTGATGCTGTTCAAGTTACACACACACACACACACACACACACACACACACACTTTATGTTTATCACAGAACCTTCTAAAGCAGTTGCTGTTTCTTTATCTAACCAACGAGAAAAATATTGAAGTTAAGCAACATGCCAAACGTCACTCAGCTAGGAAGTGGCAGAACCGGAATTCAGACCTGACTCCAAATCCCATAGGAAAGAATGAAGTCAGGTGACATGTGAGATAAACGCTAGACGTAATAGTTTGCAGGGGTGGCCAGGAAATGACATATGGTTTCTCTGTTCCCTGTTTCTGCTCCAGGCCGCTACTCACTTAGTAGTCAGGGAAATAAGTCTAGCAACTCCTAACATATTTGCAAACCCTGTCCTAACTTGCCTTTAGAGACAAGGTGAGCAGTAGCTCTGGATTTCTGAATTTCAGAATTCAGCCTTGGACAACTAACTCATTTTCAATGACCTTATTATTTTTTTCAGGAGGTTTTGGAATGGGAAGCAAGTCAGCTGCCACCAGCCCAACAGGCTCGTTGCATGGTACTCCCACCCATCAAAACAAACCCCGGACTCTGGATCCTTTTGCCGACCTTGGGACATTAGGTATAAATGTAGCAGGTTAAGATATAAATAACATTTACTTATGGCTACCAAGCCTCAAATCTAAATCTTTGGTGTTAAAATAAGCTGGTATTGTTACCTAGGATCTAAAATCATGTGTATTTTTAAGCTATACTCTAAAACCCAAGATTGACTTTTTAAAAAAGGAAGCAGGCTTCAAATATTGGGTTGGAACTAACCCCTATTAATCCGTTTCTCTAATGACTCATTTTGAAGTAGTAGCATAAATAAAGTTAAAACTTCCAGGAGCATCTGACAATAGAGTTTGGCTGCAGCAAAAGTAATGAATGTGTAGAAAAACACTGAGACATGAGGCTGGTCAGATTTGTGCCAGGTAGGGCCAGCTGTGCATAGGCCTTACTGTGAAGTTGCTAGGGAGATCCCCGTACTGTCCCCCTCTTCTCTCCATTGGCGACAGTGCTCTCGGGTCCGTTTCTCAAATTCCATACAGAAAATAGACTCTCTTTATAGTATATCCAAACTGTTTTTCATCATATGTTAATTATTGTTATAAAATAAGTGTTTCATGAGGAAGTAATTTTAGAAACACTGGGTTCGGTGGAGTTGGGTTACTGCAAAAACTTCTGAGAATCAGTGCTCATGGTGATGCATCCCAATAGGGGAATACAGTGTGCAGGGTTCTCAAACTATTTCACCAAGGAACCTTTCTTCAAGGAGTAGTTCATTGGACCAGTGTGTTCTGAAACCTTTTCTTCCTCCTTCCTTCTCTGGGCAGTACAGAGTTGTTAAATAAAGGTGGGGCAGCCCTCACCCGAAGGATTAAATGAGGCACGTTGATAGTTTAGTTTCTCTGAAAGCCCTCCTGAGGCATTTAGAACCAAATTATCTGCAGAGAATGAGAACGTGACTACCTTTTTATTTTTTGCCAGTAGTTATGTCAGAATCTTGACCTTTTCTTTTATACCCTTTAGACCTTTTTTCCTTTTAAGAACTCTCAAAATTATTTCTCTTTTTTATATCTTAAAATAAACTTCACATTTTAGAATAATAACATCATATATAACAGGCAAAGTTCTACTTCAAATAAAATCTTATCCACTGTTCATTTTTTACCCATTTATTCATCCCACAACTATTTACTAAGTGCCTTCTACGTGCTAACACTCCTTTAGTAAAAACCAACCAACCAAACTAACAAAACCAGAACAAAATTCCTGCCTTTGTAAGGCTTGTATTCTAGAAGGGGAAACAAATACTAAATGAATAAATATATAATATAATGTCAAGTAATAAAAACAATTAATGTTTATTTGGAGGTTTTACTAAGTGCCAGGCTCTATTTTAAGTGCTTTACACGTATCATTTCATTTAATCTTGCCAATAATCTTTTGAAGTAGGAACTGTTACAGTCCTCATTTTTAAATGAAGAAACGTGGACACCAAAGTGTAAGTAACTTGCCCAAATCACAAGGTTTCAACACCATGAAGTCGAGGTCTGGAGTTTGCACTATAAGCCCCGTGCAGAGTGCTGTGAAAAAAATAAGGCAGAAAGTGATGGCGAGTAGGGGATGGGCTGGGGTGTTATTTTAGATATCAAGTGGTTAGGGAAGGCCTCTCTGAAGAGGTGACCTTCATAGGAAGTTCTTTTAAAAACTCCAGCATCGTGTCTTGCATCTGGTTGTCATGTCCTTTTAGACACCTTTAACCTGGAATCATTCCTCAGCCTTCCGTGACATCGATACTTGAAGGGTACAGGCCAGCTGAGAACGCCTCGATTTGTTAACTTTGATCACTTGGTTAAGGTGATGTCTGCCAGGTTTCCTCACCATAAAGTTACCATTTTTCCCTATAGTAATTGATGAGTCATCTGGGGAGATAATTTGAGTCTGTTCTATTTGAGAATATCCTGTCCTCCATCTGACTTGTACCCAGGAGGTTTTGGAATGGGAAGCATTCATTTTAGCATTTCAGCATTCATTAGTGATTCTTGCCTAAAGCAGGCATTACCATGATATCTGCAGAATTGTGATTGTCTGATTCTGTCCTTCTTTCTATGTATATTAATTAGCATTTCACTCTAAGGCAGAATCTCCTCTCTCTCTCCATCCCCTCCCCCCTTCCTTTCTGACTCCCTCCCTCTCTCACATCATAACAGACTAGTGGATTCTTTTTGCACTCAGTTGGTTATCATCTATTATTGTCATTATTTAATGTTTACATTGTCCCACATTTAGTTTGCGAAAGCTCCTTTGTTCTGGCTTCTGTATCTTTTTCACTTGATTCCATCATTTTTGAGAACTTTCTTTCTTTATGGCACAAGATGTTCTAGGCTTATCTTGCACTTTTTACACCCCAGTCCTGGAATCAGGCATTTCCAAGAATCCTCATTCCTTTTTGTGGGGAGTGGTATTTAGAAACCAGAATCTGTTCTAAGTATGTTTTTTGGTACGGGGGTGGGTGTCATTGCTCTGCCTTTCAGGAGATGGAGATAGGTGATGTGTGGATATAAATACATATATCAATATATAATTCCATCCACTACCACAGAGTTCTTCCTTACTTTCCCCTATTCCATATGTGTATCTTCCGTTTCCTTGGATCTCAACATTAATAGACAATAAAAATAGTTTCAGAATAGCTGCGTCCATATCACTGCAACAGCATACCTACTAGGAGGAGTTCAAGAGTTCTTTGTTGTTTTTAAAATGCAGTAATTCTTAAAAACTGCTGGGGAAACTAGTGTCCTAAATTTCCCCATTTTTCAACTCACATAGCTTAGGAAAGGTAAGTGACTTTCCTGAAGCTACACAGTGAACAGGTATATAAGCAAGCGCTATGCATTAGAATTTTTGACTCTTAGGTAATTGCTTTAGAGTAAAAATTAAACTTCCAAATTATATAGCTGCAATTTTTCAAAAAAAGGTAGTATCCTTCTGAGAACTTTAGGTATTTTCACACTGAACAGTTCTGATACCAACACTGTAGTTCTTCCCATAGATATTCTGACTTAATTGGTTTGGCTGTGGCTTGGTTATAAACAGTTTTTAAAGCTCCCCAAGTGTGTCTAACACACAGCCGAGTCTGACGACCACTGCTTTTGCTTTTAATGAGGATTGCAGTGGCCTCTGGGTTTAGCTACTGCTTTGTATTTCTGTCAGCTCTCCGCTTCAGCGGCGTTGAAAATTAGAATTGCTAACCATGGGTAGAAGATATTCCGGAAGGGTAGACATCAGAAAGTCCTACAATGTTGATGAACAGCTTGAGATCAGAGTCAGCATCTGCCTGTTCACCACTGTATCTTCAGCCTGGCGTGGAGAAGATGCTCGCTAGTGTTTTATAAAGGAACAAATAAATGACAGTGTGGTGGGAATATGGAAGTATTTTTTAAGTTCTTCAGGTCTTTCTGTGTTATTGAATTTTTAAATAATAAACATATATATATTCAGAAAGAAGATAGTAAGCATCCTTAAAATATAAAATGAACTCCCAGTGCAGAATGCAAACCCAGCCTAAGGTATATGTTGATGCACTGTTGGCAGAAGGGCCCAGGGGCTCACAAAGAGGGGCTTCATGTTCTGAGTTAGACACTGACAGCAATGCCTACCTGCAGAATATAACCCTGTCATTACTGTTTCCTATTACCAAGTATTTATTGAGCCCTTATGGTGTCCTGGTGCATGCTGGGCATATGAAATTGCATTATTTTAAAATAACGTCTCTTATTCGCTTAACTCAGAGATTGTGAAGAACTTTCACGTAGCCATTGTGCCTTCATGATATACCTGTGACTTAGACATAGTTCTGATTTCACAGGTGACAAAATTGAGGTCAAGGAGATGAGTTTTTCACTGAACTGCAGAAGAGCAAGGATTCTCTGTAGATGTTTTTCAGCTATATTCCCAGTGCACAGTATCTGGTACTTAGTAGTGCTCAACAGATACTGATGAATGACTCTATGAGTGAATGAATGAATAAATGCATGCAAGAATGAATGCACGAGTGAGCAACAGAGCAGAGACTCAAACTCAGAGTGACTCTGGGTCTGATGGTCATAACACAACGTTCCTAGTAGGAAAGGAAAGAGGAGCCCAGATCAGAGCAGAGGAACAGTATCTATATAAAGAAGACATTGTAAGTAAGGGATGAGTTGTAGTGAAAGACTCAGAGATTTAGGGAGGGATTAGGGATTATGGCTGCAGGAAATGAACATAACATGTTGAGATAGGAAGCCCATAGTCAAGTCCCAGCTCCATTAACTAGCTGTGTGATCATGAGCATATCAGTATACCTCCGTGAGCCTTGCTTTCCTCATCTTTAAAGTGGGGCCAGACTGTGGAAAACAGTATGGACATTTCTCAAAAAACTGAAAATGGAACTACTATATGACCCAGCAATTCCACTCCTGGGTATATATCTGAAAAAAACAAAAACACTAATTTGAAAAGATACATGCACCCCAATGTTCGTAGCAGCATTATTTACGATTGCCAAGATATGGAAGCAACCAAGGGTCCATCAACAGATGAATGGATAAAGAAGATGTGGCGCGCATATATATATATATCATGGAATACTACTCACCCATAAAAAAGAACAAAATTTTGCCATTTGTAGCAACATGGATGGACTCGGAGGGCATTATGCTAAGCGAAATAAGTCAGACAGAGAAAAACAAATACTATGTGATATCACTTATACGTGGAACCTAAAAAATACAACGAACTAGTGAATATGACAGAAAAGAAGCAGATTCACAGATATAGAGAATAAACTAGGCGTTGCCAGTGTTGGGGAGTAGGGGAAGGGCAATATAGGGGTGAGGAAGTGGGAGGTACAAACTACTGGGTGTAAGACAGGCTCAAGGCTGTATTGTACAACACAGGGAATAGAGCCAATATTTTGTAATAACTAAATGGAAAGTAACCTTTAAAAATTGTATAAAAATTTAAAAAATTGGGCTTCCCTGGTGGCACAGTGGTTGAGAGTCCGCCTGCCAATGCAGGGGATGTGGGTTCGTGCCCCGGTCCGGTAAGATCCCACATGCCGCGGAGTGGCTGGGCCCGTGAGCCACGGCTGCTGAGCCTGCGCGTCCGGAGCCTGTGCTCTGCAACGGGAGAGGCCACAACAGTGAGAGGCCCGCATACCACCAAAAAATAAATAAATAAATAAATAATTTTTAAATGGTAATTTTGATAAAGAAAGAAAAATAAATAAATAAAGTGGGGCTAGTAATACTACCTACTTCTGAAGGGTGTTGTGTAGATTGAAGGCAGTAATATTTAGAAACATGTTTTATAATTTCTGAAGAGCAATACAAATGTTACTTTATTATCACTGTTGTTTTGGAATTGGTGCCTGAAAGGGTCCCTGTAGATCACCATGTTTCAGCTTCTCATTTTACCTCTTTAAACATGAGCTACAACTGGTCTTCGTATTTTAGAAAAAGCCCAGCATATATGCAGTGAGTACTTAAAAGTTAGGAGTTACAGAATCAGGATTCTACTTAAATTCCCAGCACAAAGTAATAGTTCTTAAAGCTCGAATAAGATTCTTTGCCCTATTCAAGGCTGTCAGAGTGTTAGCTGTGTTTACTCTCCTGCACTGAAATGCAAATAGTGTGAAATTGAAACCTATTTATGAAATTTCAAAACCTCTTGGTTTACTCATGGGCACTAACCATGCTTGTATTTATAACAGACCATGAATGATCCTGCTCATTGAAGTTCAAGTAGCACCTTCATGAGTGAATGTATTTTGTTTTATTCCCTGTTCTTGTCGTTTGATAGTTTTTACTCCAGTGAAGTAGAGTCTGCTGAGAGGGTGGGAAGGAGGGCTGGGATGGCGTAGTGGAAGAGCCAGGGCTCTTCTGGCTTGCAGTTAAAGACTTGGACTGAAGTCCCAGTTCTGCCACCTTCTGGCTGTGTGACTTTGAGAAAGTCACTTAACTACTCTGAGCTATAGTTCGTTCATCCAAAGAAAAAATGGGGCTATTAATACATACCTAAAAGTGTCATTGTGGGGATTAAAGGAAATATATGACTGCAATTTATTTAACTATTAGCAAGGCTAATTGTGCCACCAGTCAAGGGAAGTTCCACTGAAGTCACTGTAAACAGTAACTTGAGACACAGGAGTTAGAGGCTCCTCAAAATAGCATTACCTTCTTTCTCGCTCTCTCCTTCTTTTGTTGTTTTTTTAATTTGTTCTGTAGGTGGTTCTTCATTTGCCAGCAAACCCTCCACACCAACTGGATTGGGTGGAGGATTTCCACCTCTCAGCTCGCCACAGAAAGCATCTCCCCAGCCTATGGGTGGAGGGTGGCAGCAGGGAAGTGGCTACAGCTGGCAGCAGACACAGTCTAAGCCACAGTCCAGCATGCCCCACTCCTCTCCCCAGAACCGACCCAACTACAACGTGAGCTTCTCATCTGTGCCTGGGGGCCAGAACGAACGTGGGAAAGGAGCAGCTAACTTGGGTAAGGATGACGGTATGGAGGCTGGCTGTAGGGTACCCACATGTATGTATGTCTGAAGAAGGAGATAGAAAGCAATTCTGGTAGTTTCTGAGGCAGTCTTTGAATTGTAGAGACAGAGCACGATCCCTACACCAGGGTGGTGCCTGGAGCTCCAGGTTTTACCAGGCTCCTGACACAGATCGCTTTGTGAGTGCCGGCTCACCTGTCTGTCTCCACGCTGAGACCAATGCCTCATTGTCATTAGCACCTAGCAGAGCGCCTGGCATGTAGTAGGCACTATATGGGTATTGAGTGGATGTGAGTGGAGGCGTGGTTGCATCTTGAAGCTGTCATTCCTTTGGAAGAGAGGGTAGAAGAGGAAGGTTGGGAACCTTTCAAGCACTGTGTTCACATTTGCTCTTGGACCCCATTTAGAGGAGTGGACGTATCTTGGACGTTTGGTCTTGATTATCCTCTGGTTGGGGGATGTTCCTGAGATCATTGGGTTTCCTGTGACGGTTTTTTCCTCTCTTCTGAGAAGAAAGTTACAAGAACACAAAATGGCCCAACAGCTAAGGCTGGAGGATACCCTGGATGGGATTCTTCCTTTCTCAAATGGGATTCTTGATAGCGAGTGAAAAATAATATATTTTGGATAGCAGGGATGGTTAAACTCGAGTTTGCTAAAAGGCCTGTTATGATATAGTTTACATTTCAGTTGATTTGATTATACCTAAGAATGAAACGTTTAGGGACATGATAAGGAAACAGGCCTTCCTATGGAACATGGAAAATGAAATTCTTCTACTTTTTCTGGTAGCTGTAGCTGACATTTATTGAGTGCTTATTATACGTCAGGTGCTATTCTATGCAGTTTTCGCATATTATTTAATATAATCTTCCCAAACCAGCCCTATGTTGTAGACAGAGGTCAATAGTTTCCTAAGTCCGTACAGCTCGTAAGTGACACAGCCAAGATCTGAACCAGGACAGTGTGGCTCTAGAGCCCCTGCTCTTCACCGCCACACTCTACTGCATATGACACGGGTGACTTCTCACAATACTAACATGACAGGGACCCTCTTATTGGGAATACAACATCATGTTTGTTCTTTAGTTAGCAGTGGATATTCCTGGATAATTCCATAGAGTCACCTGGCTTCCCCTCCGTTCTTATTTTGAGTAGATGTGGGGTGAATGTCTTCAATCAGCAAATATTTATGGAGCATCTTCAGTGTAGAAAACATTGGGGATACGCAGCGAACAAGACAGACAAAATCCCTAGTCTCAGAGCACTCACATTTTAGTATGTGCGTATGACAGTGTACGTTCAGAATGTAGAGCTTACAGTATAGAGCTGGCAAGTGGGTTTCAATTCCAACACTAGCTTTGGTTGAAGGGCATGGACTGCATGTACTCCTGTGTTTTGGTTCTGTTTTGTTTTAACAACAAACATTTAAATAGCCAGGCACTGTTCTAAGCACACCATGCCTGGTTGACAGATGAGGAAATTGAGGCATGGAGATGGCAAGGAACTTGCCCCAAGGTCACATCGCTAATAAGGGCAGAGCTGGAATTCAAACCTGGAGAGTTTGTCTCCAGGGTCTTTGCTCTTTGCTGCTATGCTAGGCTGCTTTTCCAAACAGACTGATAAAGATTGTGAGGCTAAAACCAGACTTGGGAAAAAAGAGCACTGTGATGGACTAAAAGTGTCAGCTGAGTGTGGGCAGGAAAGCAGTGGCGTGCATGGATTTCAAGTACCAAAACCCAGGTCTTGGTCCCATCACTGATACTAACTAGTTGTGTGACTGGGGTCTGGGGGGCGTGGGGGAGGGAGCAGGGGGTAGAATCATGAATATCCTCATCTATAAAGAGATGGAACAGTGGATATGGAATTATGGAATTAGACTTAATCTAGCAATCCCGCCCCGAGTCCAAGCTTTGCCATGGACATGGTATATGATTCTGAATGATCTCTTAAGTTCTCCAGACTTTACTTTCCTCATCTGTAAAATGGACATGACAGGGTAATTGAGAGGATTAAGGGCTTAGTGCATGTGAAAGCACCTTGAAGACCAAGTGTTGTGATATAATGATATGATATTATGTTTCAGAGTAAAAACCATAATAATTTTTAAAATATTATGTTGCAGAAGGGAAACAAAAAGCAGCTGACTTTGAAGACCTACTCTCTGGTCAAGGTTTTAATGCTCACAAAGACAAAAAGGGCCCTCGAACAATAGCTGAGATGAGAAAGGAGGAAATGGCTAAGGAGATGGATCCTGAGAAATTAAAGGTAAGTGAGCCCCTGACCCAGGGTGATTATTATGTGTGTGGAGATGTCAGTGTGGGACTAACCTATAGAAGGTGCCGTGTTAGGTTTCTAGCATCCACTTTATTTCATTTGGTTCCTATAGCTGTGATTTGAGTACAACTGTGTCCTTTAATAGCAAAGTACTTTCAGGGAGTACTGTGTATGCTGTTTCGTTTCTTTAATAAAATGCACTTTATTCCATGGTATGGTAGTATAGATTTTCTTTGTTTACATTTTCAAATAAGCAATGGCACTCTTTAGGAGGTGATCTTATTGTTCAGATGGCATTCCGATCTGTAGGTAAGTCATTATGATTTGGAGGTAAGAAGAATGCATTATTTATGTTCTCTATTTCTGCTTTGAGAGCTTTATATTAGACCAGATCAACTGAAGCCCTCAGGATCTCTTCTTTGCTGACAGAGAGGGAAATACTGATGTACCTGGAATTACTCACTCCCGTAATGTTACATCTGGAGGTTTGGGAAGGTGGCAGGGAGGAAGGCTGAGGGAGGTGAGGTCCTTGGCTTCCCCACTGCTTCCCTCCACTTTTAACCAGAGCATTTCTGCTTTTATCTGTTTTTGATTCTTGGAAGTCTAGGTAAGATTCTATTTGGGGAAGGAGAATGTTTCCCTATTATCTTCTTTTCTTTTAAAGTTTGCAAACCAGTGACGCCCTTATTTCATAGATGAGAAAACGGAGACATTACTTTATATGTTATCGTGGATGGTGGTTAATTTGGGAACAAAAGGGTGGTTATATTGATGAATGGTGTGAGATAGTGAAAGAGTTTGTGAAGATCAAGACAAGTGGACTGCTCTTCACAGACAGAGAGGCTGAATTTCCACAAGACGAAATATACTGACCCTGTAGCAGCCTGGAAGATGAGGGTCTAATCTGTTACTCCAAAATCAGGAGTGGTACAGCTAGTCAGTGTCACACATTTTGAAAAAGTATGCTACTGTTCTTCGCCATAATTTCCCTACAGATATGAACGTTGGTTGAAGATGTACAGGTACTATTTGGAGTACAATATAGGATCCTTTGTTTGTATTTGCTTTGCACTTCATACAACATCCAAAAGGTTTTATATTCCTTCCAAAAACCTTGTGCTCCATCTCAAGAACCTTTGTTCATTAGGTAAACTCTGACAGTTTTCTATAAAAGGAAGTCATTTATGTCTTTTAAACCATGCTTGGTTATTTAGTTGGTATGGGGTATTAAATCGTTTGGGAGAGTAGCCATCATTTACCTCGACTGAGCTTCTGTTATGTGCTACATGCTGATGCATTGTTACAAACCCTTCAATTTAATCATCTCATTTGTTCGAACTATGAAGATTCCAACTATGAATGCTCATAGTTGGAATGAATGACTAAATGTATTCATTTAACAACCCTTTTTGAGCTCTGTTCCATGCCAGGCATACTATTTGATTTCTGAGTTACAGTGATATGTTAAAAACATTACCTTTCCTCAAACAGGTCTGCCTAGTGGCAGGGAAAGACAAACACATGATTACAATAAAGTGTCACACATATTATGATAGAAACATGTTTAAAAGTTAGCCCGGAGAAATTTGTTCTTTTATCCAAGGGATTTTTTTTTAGTGTCTCTGTGTCACTATACTAGATGGAGCAGATAGCAGGGACCCAGACAGACATGGTGTGGGCACTCATGAAGTTTATACTTTAGGAGTGAGTAATTAACTCATGGGGGGCCAGAGAAGAAGGAAAGTATTCAAACTCTCAAAGGCAGAGCAGTATGAAATTCCTGAGCAGGCTCTTGAAGGATGATGAAGAGTTAACCAGAAAGATGAGGTCGGGGGTGGAGGAAGAAAAGCAGGTAGAGGGGCAGGTTGGAGTATGCAGGTACTCGACGTTGCTGGAGCAGGAGGGGTTTCCAGAGTCACAGTGGAGACCCTCTGGACTCGAGAGCATTTGGATCTCTTAATTGCCCCTGTGTTTACAGATTCTGGAATGGATTGAAGGCAAAGAGAGAAATATCAGAGCCCTTCTGTCCACGATGCATACCATGCTGTGGGATGGGGAGACTAAGTGGAAACCAGTTGGCATGGCAGACCTGGTCACACCAGAGCAGGTGAAGAAGGTGTACAGGAAGGCTGTGCTGGTGGTACATCCAGATAAAGTGAGTACAGCTTGCTCTCCGCCACCGCGCGTCTGGGCCTCCTGTCGTTCGTTTACAAGTATGCGTCAAAGCATCATACTTTCAACTTGTTGCTTAGACCATTTATATAAAATAAATCCCATGGGCTCAAAAAAGGTATTTAAACAAATAGTTACGCTTTATGAAACAGAAGAAAAGGAATCAAATAATATATTACAAATAATGGAGTAGGGGCCTTCTTTAGGTGTAAGGTTCACCACTGACTAATTTTCAGGGAACAGGTACAAACTGTGTCTTGACTTACGGGTGGGCTAAGAGCTGGACAGGAAAATGTTCTCCTTTAGAGATATAGCAGGATATTTAGCCAGGATTATGAAGTGAAAAAAGCTTTAGAACGTAGTTGGCAAACTTGGTGAGAATTAACAAAATACTCAGAATGGAACTAAACGCTTCACTATATGGATTATGCCAGTTTATGTTTTCATTGAAGTACGTACACATGTACGTGCTGCACGTTGTCAGAAACTTCAGCTACTGGATGGCACAGTTGAGATCACCATGATATACAGAAACCTCCCTGACAGAATTGGATCCCTTGCTGTCTTGTGGACTGAGGATACCAGGCCTATGATGTGAGGCTGTGACTGAAGTCCTGCTTGGGAACACGTACTTGAATTTGATATATTTGATTTTCATCTCTCCACACTTTTTGTGACTAATCTGGATAGTATTAAAGAAATAATGTGTTTCAGTGAATCAAAGAGAAAGGGAAACAGCCCAGAAAAATTCACAAACTATATGCCTATGTTATGGGTCTCCAAGAACTTTTTTCAGAAATGGGAAAATGGGGACTTCCCTCATGGCACAGTGGTTAAGAATCCGCCTGCCAATGCAGGGGACACGGGTTTGATCCCTGGTCCGGGAAGATCCCACATGCCGTGGAGCAACTAAGCCCCTGAGCCACAACTACTGAGCCCCTGTGCCACAACTACTGAAGCCCGTGCACCTAGAACCCATGCTCCACAACCATAACAAGAGAAGCTACCGCAATGAGAAGCCTGAGCACCGCAAGGAAGAGTAGCCTCCGTTCACCGCAACTAGAGAAAGCCCGCGCACAGCAACAAAGACCCAACACAGCCAAAAATAAATAAATTTATTTAAAAAGAAAAAGAAATGGGGAAATGTGTTTTTCAAAATATAGCTCATCAATTGGAGATAGGCAGTCAGGAACCTTTGTCATTTGATAGATAATTCTGGAAATGGAGATACATTTTGTGCTGCCCAGTAACTTCTCTGTTACCTGCTCAGTGACTGACCACTACTACCAAATGTGAATCCCTAGGGGGAGGGCTTCCTGGGGAGGTCATAGTAATTAGGGGCATGTAGATGGGGCTGTAAAAAGAGAAATGGCCTAATAGAAAAACATTTCAATTCCTTAGAGCCCACATATTAGCAGTGAAAAATTTAATAGAAATAAAACTTTGGTCTGTGGTATCTAATGTGTGTGTGTGTTTGTTTTTTTTCTATAGGCTACTGGGCAACCTTATGAACAATATGCAAAGATGATTTTCATGGAGCTCAATGATGCCTGGTCTGAATTTGAAAATCAAGGCCAAAAGCCCTTGTATTAATGTATGAGCTTTTCCATCTCTGCTGCAGACCTGTGCTAATGCTTAGTGTGTGTCACAGTTCTGAGGTTTTCACAGGTGAACCAAAAAACTCCAGCAACGTGTATCCAGTACTTAACTGTTAAGTTACTCGTAAATTAATTCCTCATTGATAAGGAATGTGGATGTTTGTTTTCTCAGATCCCCCCCATAAAAGGTCCAAAGCAGGAGAGGAACTTTTAGTCCGATGAGCTTGCAGAGTTTTACAGCATTCCAACCTGCCCTTTGGGGAGCCTACTCAGCGTTTTGTGGGGGAATGGAAAATAGAGGCCACCAAAGGCATAGCACCCATCTCAATGTCTGAGGATAGGACGATGAGCAAGAGTTCTAATAATATTACATGGTGGACTTAAATGGTTTTCATATTTTCTTGGAAAGATATGGTTTGAGCAATGGCTTTACATAGGCTCCAGGAACACAAGCACCAAGTATCTTTTTCAGTGGAAATTTACTATGGTCTCTAGTATAATACTGTATACTTCTTTTGGTCAAGAGGACTGACAGATGTAAAAGAACCTGAATTATGTGGGAAGTGATTATATGATAATCCAGTGATTACTACCAACGCTTCCTGGATAAGCTAAAATTTCGTGAAAATGCTGGCTAAAGAAAAATAGGGACTCTGAGAGTGTAGAAATCTGTATTCCTGGTCAGAAAGTTGGGCTGCTACCTTCTTTTCCCTTTAGAAAACTGGATGCTTGAACAAAAAGTCTTAATACCATAACAACAACCTGATTGGAAGGAAACCTCTAATTTTGCCATTAGGCTTAACGCTTTTCCTTTTGCTTAGCAGAGAAAACGCTCTTTGCTGGGAGCAGGTTGTGAAGCAGTTTGGCGCATTCACAGTCGATCAGGAAGGATGTGTAGTAAGGACCCCCTTGTCCTCCGGGTTTGTGAGTAGCTGTGGGAAGAGAATAGACGACAGCACTAACCACTAGTAACCAGACAGGGGCAGTTGCAGAGAGAGAGCCGAGCTCCCTTCAGACTGAGTCCGATGGCTTGTCAGGACTGGCTTTTTGAGGAACCAGGTTCCTTTTCCCACCTGAGGAAATTGGACCTCTTGGATTATTACAGTGGGGTTTATTGTTTGAAAAGTCGCTGGGGGTCCACAGGAACAACAGTCACACAGGGACATCTGTGAAAGTAAAGCAAGGCTGCAACCTTTGCAGACTTCAGACTGGTTGGATTTCAGTTCAGTGTTTTGGCTGTTTCTCATTTTAAGGGGCAAGCAGTTGTTATTATCCTGTGACTTTAGTAGATCTCTTTGGGTGTGCACACACACAGTGTGCAGAAGATATATATGCAAAGCAGATGGCAAAAAAGATCTCCATTCTAGTCTTAAAAGGTTCGTGCTCAGTATGGTAGAAAGCTTTCAAAACTTGTTTTTAAAAGACAATCATTTTTTTGTTTCTATTTTCATTTTCTTGTGGCAGACTGTACCAGAAAAGCAGCATGTCAAAATACTTTATGTTCTATATACAACTCTCTCGTTCTTTCTCTTCTCTCTTTCTCCTTTTCTTCCTTCCTTCCTCCCTCCCTCCCTTCCTTCCTTTCTTTCTTCCTTTCCTTTCCTTTCTTTCTTTTTTTTGTTATAAAGATTCATTATTTATTTTACCTTTTGCTGACAATGTGAAACTCGCCTAAAATGTTCTCTTTTTAAATATACAGCTGTAAACTGTTCAAAGTAACCATAAAAAACTAGGTGTTATTTATTAACATAAAATAATGTTTGATGCAGTATGTGCTTGTCTTATTTAAAACTGGAATGTGAGACATGTTGCTGTGACTCTTTTTTCTCATTCACATTTGTAGATATTGTGTGAACTACAGTATATAATGATAATAATTAAAAGGATATTATGTGAATGTCACATACATTTTGAAATGATAGAACTATATTAGCTTTGTATCATGTTTGGATAATTCATCAATGTTCACAGTTTAAAACATCATTAAACATTATGTAATTAGCAATGAGAAAGAATCTTACCTAACTTAAATTTGGGATGTTCCCTATCTCTTTTCTGGTTACATTATAATTCTGGACCCCTATTCATCTCAAAACTCTTAACATATGCAGACCAACAGGTTTTCGCATTCCTTTTAAATACCTGGTTGTGACAGAGCTCGTTGTTGATCAGATTCACTGTTTCGTTCATATTTGTTGTAATATATTTTTTGTTTTGTAAATATGTTACACCAACAAAATGTGATTGGTCTAAAATATTTGTAATGTATATTAAAAGGCTCAAAAATATTTGTAGAAATGTAAGTTATTTTTGCACTCATGGGAATATGATGACAAGCTTGAATTATACCTTCTGATTCACTTTTAAGAAAAGTTATGGAGAAAGAATATGAAAAGCATATAATACATTTGCACCAAAACATGATCTGACAGGACTTCTTGGTTTATACTTTAACCACCCCCCGTTGCCACCCTTGCCCCCATACACAGACACACTTGATCATGCTGCATGAATGCTATGTTTCAAAAAGAATCAGCATAGAAATCCTGGTGTTCTAGCTAGGATATTAATTCATTCGTGTGCTGAGGCGAAGGGATTGATCCTGGGAGTCTGAGACTTTGTCATAGAAAACAGATCGTTTAGGTGTCTAAGAAGAGAAGCAGCATGTTCATTTGGAAGCAGATGTTGCAAGTCAAAAGCATTTGAACTATCAGCGTTGTGTCTCTTTCTGGAAGAACGTTCAAGTTAGACCCTAATGATGCTGATGAAACACTTATTGTATAAGGAATGAACATGCAAGTTGAATTCCAGAACCAGCTATCGCAGCAACAGGACAGTTTCCCTGCTGGAAACATCTATTGGGGAATTTAGGTCAAGTAGACAGGTTTTGGTTGTTCTATACATAAACCATGGTGTTTCAGCATAATGGTACAATGTTGGTTTGAGACCAAAAGACTGGGTTTGAATCCTGGTTTTTCCACTTAAGGACTGTTATATTGGGCAAATTGCTTAAACTCGCTAAATCTTAATTTTATTGCTTGTAAAACAGAGACAATTCTAGCAACCCTGCAATGGAGGAATTAGGGATTGTGTATATAAACTGTCCCTAATCAAGTGGGTAGGTACTCACTAAATAGTAGCTACTGTTATTGTTACTGATAGTCGATAAAACAAAGTATCACTGCAGGTCGGTACTGGGGCTGGAATTACACTGAAACCTCAGGTGGTAGGGAGTGGATAACATGCGTGGGAAAAGGCAACCAGAAGTAAAATGTCCCTTAGCCCTTTTTTCTATCTCCCTGGGCTGACAGAGATCTGTCTGCATACAATGGCGGACTTACATTGTAGGTTCTGTAAAGGGAGTGGCTATGTGTAAAAAAGTGGTGGTGAGGATTGAGGAAGGAAAATTAACACTGACTGATTACAATAGTGCTGCATCGAACTTGCGTTTAACTTAAGCACTGACTTGAGAGCCACCCCAGTGCAGATAGGGTGCCACTGCCTCTATCTTGAATGCACTACCCTAGGTGCTGTTACATATATTCATTTTCTCATTTAATTTGCAAAAAGTTCTGAGAGGCATGTTTTGTAAATCCTAGCTCAGGAAATGCAAGCACAGAGAGGTTTACCCAGAGCTGAGGTTGAGGTTAGCTCTTTTCTGTAGGATAGGGAAAGATGATACTGTATACGGTGAACTTTATTAATATTTGTGAATTCAACCAATATTTTGTGTATACTGTATGGGAAGATCAAACTAATAAATGAATTTGATTGCCCTGTTAAACATTAAGGGATGTTATTTCTAATTACTATGGCAGTTCCTGCCTTCTTAGTGCATAAGATCTACTATGGAGAACAGTTCAAGTGCTGACTGTCTGACTTCATATTTAAACTGTTTAGGGCTTGATCTGAGCTTTAGTTTTTCCCATCTGTAAAGTGGAGGTAATAAAACCTAGTTCATAGTGTGAGAGAGTTGAATGCAAGGAGAGAATATAAAAATTTATCCAAGAAGTCCTGTGTAGTCCTGGACAGTGTGACAGAGGACATGGATATACTTCTAAGTAACACAACTGATGGCAAGTTGGGGATAGGGTTCAGCTTCTAAAGTCTTACTCTCTGGGGTTTTTTTTTGTGTGTGTGTGTATGTGAAAGTTGCTTCCTTTATTTTATTTATTTTTTGAATTTTACTTATTTTTATACAGCAGGTTCTTTTTAGTTTTCTATTTTATACATATTAATGTATATATGTCAATCCCAATCTCCCAATTCATCCCACCCCCCCACCCCACTTTCTCCCTTTGTGTCCATACATTTGTTCTCTATATCTGTGTCTCTGTTTCTGCCTTGCAAACCAGTTCATCTGTACCATTTTTCTAGATTCCACATATATGTGTTAATATATGATACTTGTTTTCCTCTTTCTGACTTCACTCTGTATGACAGTCTCTGGGTCCATCCACTTCTCTACAAATGACCCAATTTTGTTCCTTTTTATGGCTAAGTAATATTCCATTGTATATATGTACCATATCTTCTTTATCCATCAATCTGTCAATGGGCATTTAGGTTGCTTCCATGACCTGGCTATTGTAAATAGTGCTGTAATGAACACTGGGGTGCATGTGTCCTTTTGAATTATGGTTTTTTTAGGGTATATGTCCAGTAGTGGGATTGCTGGGTCATATTAATTTTTTAAGGAACTTCCATACTGTTCTCCATAGTGGCTGTATCAATTTACATTCCCACCAACAGTGCAAGAGGGTTCCCTTTTCTCCACACCTTCTCCAGCATTTATTGTTTGTAGATTTTCTGATGAAGCCCATTCTAACTGGTGTGAGGTGATACCTCATTGTAGTTTTGATTTGCATTTCTCTAATAGCGATGTTGAGCAGCTTTTCATGTGCTTCATCGCCATCTGTATTTCTTCTTGGAGAAATGTCTATTTAGGTCTTCTGCCCATTTTTGGATTGGGTTGTTTGTTTTTTTAATATTGAGCTGCATGATCTGTTTATATATTTTGGACATTAATCCTTTGTCTGTTGATTCATTTGCAAATATTTTCTCCCATCCTGAGGGTTGTCTTTTCATCTTGTTTATGGTTTCCTTTGCTGTGCAAAAGCTTTTAAGTTTCATTAGGTCCCATTTGCTTTATTTATGTTTTTATTTCCATTACTCTAGGAGGTGGCTCAAAAATGATCTTGCTGTGATTATGTCAAAGAGTGTTCTTCCTATGTTTTCCTCTAAGAGTTTTATAGTGTCCGGTCTTACATTTAGGTCTTTAATCCATTTTTATTTTATTTTTGTGTATGGTGTAAGGGAGTGATCTAATTTCATTCTTTTACATGTAGCTGTCCAGTTTTCCCAACAGCACTTATTGAAGAGACTGTCTTTTCTCCATTGTATATCCTTGCCTCCTTTGTCATAGATTAGTTGACCATTTGTGTGTGGGTTTATGTCTGGGCTCTCTGTCCTGTTCCATTGATCTGTACTTCTGTTTTTGTGCCAGTACCGTATTGTCTTGATTACTTTAGCTTTGTAGTATAGTCTGAAGTCAGGGAGCCTGATTCCCCCAGCTCCGTTTTTTTCCCTCAAGATTGCTTTGGCTATTCAGCATCTTATGTGTCTCCATACAGATTTTAAGATTTTTTGTTCTAGTTCTGTAAAAAATGCCATAGGTAATTTGATAGGGATTGCATTGAATCTGTAGATTGCTTTGGGTAGTTTAGTCATTTTCACAGTATTGATTCTTCCAATCCAAGAACACTGTATATCTTTCCATCTGTTTGTGTCATCTTTGATTTCTTTCATCAGTGTCATAGTTTGCTGAGTAGAGGTCGTTTACCTCCTTAGGTAGGTTTATTCCTAGGTATTTTATTCTTTTAGTTACAATGGTGAATGGATTGTTTCCTTAATTTCTCTTGCTGATCTTTTGTTGTTAGTGTATAGGAATGCAAGAGATTTTGTATCCTGCACCTTTAGCAAATTCACTGATTAGCTCTAGTAGTTTTCTGGTGGCATCTTTAGGATTCTCTATGTATAGTATCATGTCATCTGCAAACAGAGTTTTACTTCTTTTCCAATTTGTATTCCTTTTATTTCTTTTTCTTCTCTGATTGCCATGGCTAGGACTTCCCAAACTATATTGAATAACAGTGGCGAAAGTGGACATCCTTGTCTTGTTCCTGATCTTAGAGGAAATGCTTTCAGTTCTTCCCCATTGAGAATGATGTTTGCTGTGGATTTTTCATATGTGGCCTTTATTATGTTGAGGTAGGTTCCCTCTATGCCCACATTCTGGAGAGTTTTTATCACAAATGGGTGTTGAATTTTGTCAAAAGCTTTGTCTGCATCAATTGAGATGATCATATGGTTTTTATTCTTCAATTTGTTACTGTGGTGTATCATGTTGGTTGATTTGCATATATTGAAGAATCCTTGCATCCCTGGAATAAATCCCACTATATCATGGTGTATGATCCTTTTAATGTGTTATTGGATTCTGTTTGCTAGTATTTTGTTGAGGATTTTTGCATCTATATTCATCAGTGATATTGGTCTGTAATTTTCTTTTTTTGTAGTATCTTTGTCTGGTTTTGGTATCAGGGTGATGGTGGCCTTGTAGATTGAGTTTGGGAGTGTTCCTTCCTCTGCAGTTTTTTGGAAGAGTTTGAGAAGGATCAGTGTTAGCTCTTCTCTAAATGTTTGATAGAATTCACCTGTAGAGTCATCTAGTCCTGCACTTTTGTTTGTTGGAAAATTTTTAATCACAGTTTCAATTTCATTACTTGGGATTGGTCTGTTCATATTTTCTGTTTCTTCCTGGTTCAGTCTTGGAAGGTTATACCTTTCTAAGAATTTGTCCATTTCTTCCAGGTTGTCCATTTTATTGGCATAGAGTTGCTTGTACTAGTCTCTCAGGATGCTTTGTATTTCTGTGGTGTCTGTTGTAACTTCTCCTTTTTGATTTCTAATTTTATTGATTTGAGTGTTCTCCCTCTCTCTTCATGAGTCTGGCTAATGGTTTATCAATTTTGTTTATCTTCTCAAAGAACCAGCTTTAGTTTTATTGATCTTTGCTATTTTCTTTGTTTCTATTTTATTTATTTCTGCTCTGATCTTTATGATTTCTTTCCTTCTTCTAACTTTGGGTTTTGTTTGTTCTTCTTTCTCTAGTTCCTTTAGGTGTAAGGTTAGATTGTTTATTTGAAATTTTTCTTGTTTCTTGAGGTAGGAATTTATTGCTATAAACTTCCCTCTTAGAGCTGCTTTTGCTGCATCCCATAGGTTT